GTACTAATCATAGACTCTTACCATCTTTCTTAATGACACAGAACCATTTCAAATGATAAGTAGCATTCGATGGTTCATATATTCCTGAGTCAATTTTACTTTTAATTATTTTGCAGACATCCTCGAAGATACCTGGCGGAATTGGTATATTCCTTTCAACCCACGGTTCATGTGGAATGACAGGTACTTTCACAGGTGGAAAGAATTCATTTTTGAAGGTTCCAGCATCACTTGGTTGCCAAGCAAAGCCTGCTTCCTGTTTACACATCATTTCATGCATAAGATTTCTCTCTTGTTCCCACAAAAATCCTTCAGGATGATTCTTGTCTATTATCTCTTTCCTTTCTTCCGTATACCTTTCCGTAGGTACAAACGGTTTAGGATGTTTTGACAATTCAGGTAATTCCATTAACGGATCACCATGAATGTGTCTTTCAATTCTAAATTCATCTGGTAATGTTGCCTTTATAGGATTAATCTTCTTGTCAACAGGTTTGTACTCACTGTTTCCTGATTTCCATTGGTCGTTTCAACCAATTTACCTGGTATTAAACCTGGTTTCTTGGGTATATGCACCCCATCAAATACTAATCTTCTCGTATTATCATTAAATTGATTTCGTTTTGCTTTCTCACTTTCCTCCGGAGCAACAGCATTGGATCTTAAAGTTCTCTTGGACCAATCCTGCTCCTTCATTGGAGTACTTATTTTTTTCCGTTCGAACTATTTTGGTTGAACACACGAACATCATCTTCTTGGTGTGCTTCCAAATTCCCAAGTCTATCTGATAGTTCTTCTATTCTTGTCATCCAAACAGCTAGATTGACATTAGGATTCATCTGCTGGTCCATGACTTTATCATCTTCGTCATCTTCCATGTTTGCAAAATAGGATTCAGCATGATCCCATCCCAAGTCTTTTGCCATTTGTTCAATTTTCTTGTACCAAGGTATATTTGGATTGTCTCAAGGCATCCTAGCATTGTCTCTTAATTTGTAATGCTTCGAGTCACCTCTTTCAGGCATCATCCAACCTCTTTTTGTAAATTCAAGCAAGTGTGGACATTCATTCATAAAATGATCTGTCGACTTGCACAAGAAACATGCCCACTGAGTTCCATTTGAACTTCTCAGTGTTGTATTTCTTTCAAATCTATTAGATTGATTCGAGGGATCACTCGGTGGTATTGAATTAATCATTCCTTTAGCATTTTCTTTGGCCATCTGTGCCATTACTGCTGTTAACTGCATCATAATGTCCGCTCCTTCTTTGAAGTGCGACTGTAATGACTTCACAGCTCTTATTTCTTTCATGTTTGCCTCCATGAGGTCTTTATAAAATGCAACCATCTGCTGTTGTTCTTCTGTCAATTTCCTTGGATTCAAGCTTTCTAATTTAATTCCCAGCAGATCCTTAAATTTGTCTTCTACTTTGGGTTTCAACACCTGAAGATAGTTCCTATCTGTCTTGGGAACATCTGCAGCAGACGGCAAATTAATGTGTCCCCTACTAAATGAATTAGGGTTATTAATTGGTGGGCTCAAAGAAGCAATGGAAATTGTTTGATAGTAGTTATCAAATGAACTCCCAATCATATACTTCTCAGCCGCATTCATTACTTCATCAATCTTGAAAGGATCTTCCTTTTGTCTATCTGACATAGAAGTAACTGATACATCTTTCACAACTGTTTCTAGCACGCCTCTCCTTACTTCGGGAGTCATAGGTGCCAAGAACAATCTCACTGCTGTCACGAAGCGGCAGAGGCGGAGTGACTAAGTGGGGCAATGAGGCGGAGTGACTAAGCAGGTCAGGAAGGCGGAGCGACTAAGCGGAGCATAGGCAAACTGGTCCCAGATAATGACAGAGATATATTGAGTATTGTAGTCATAGGTAATAATAAGTAAGCACATACCTGGTCCCAGATAATGACAGAGGGGTCAAGATAAGGGACCAGGCTGTGGAGGGTTGGCTATATATACATAATCCGGTCTGCGAGAAACAACGATGTAATACTGTACAGTTTAGGAACAAGAAAGGTGGCGGAAGCCAGTAGAAGGAGAAGGGTAACAGATGGATCAGTAATCGATGATGGGGATTAGGTGGATCAGTAATTGATGGGGTTTGACAGTGATGTAATCATACAAGTAAAGGCGTCGAGACGGTGAGAAAAGGAAAATGATAGGGGCTACGTACTTCATGACAACTGCATCACTATTCGTGATCATTTTTGGTTCGTCCATCAACTTTTTCATTTCAACATCGAAGAGAAGTCTGAAGATTCTCATCATCTCCTGTTCACCTGCATCAATCAGATTAAATTGATGGACCAATTGTTCAAGCAATAATCTAGATCCTCTTTCGTCTCCTACAGATTGAGGAAACATATTCTTCAGATCCTTTTTAAATTGATCCCAATTCAGTGTCTTTACTGAATCAAAAACTCTTAATGCTTGTCTTGTTTTATAAGACGTCCATTCTAAAGCTAATCTTACTTTAGCCTCGTCAGATGTAATTCCTCCATGTTCAAATATGCTTTCAGTAGCTTCGAACCATGGTATCATTTGACTTGGATCAGTTATATCAAATAATGGCGCAGTCTTATACTTTCTTGGAAGTTTCGCATTGGCTTTGTCAATCTCAGCCTTAGCTTCAGCTGACAACGCAGGCATTTCATAATTATTGGTAGTCATTTTGACTGGTTCAATCGTATTACTTGTTTGAGAGATAGTCTGATTTAACGTATCTATCAATCTAGTTGATTCAATCGATGTAGAAGATGTTAAAATTGACTCTGGAGCAATCAATTCAATTATATCTTCTTCAATATCAATCGGATTAATTTCTTTTCTCTTCCTTTTCGGATCGAGATTAGATTTCTTCAAATTCCTCGGTAAAGATGTAAATCTTCCTCGAGATATAGATAATCCTGTTCCTCTAAAAACAGAACTTCCACGCAATGCTTCTGTTGGTATTTGAGAAGAGGATGGACGACTGGATTTGTTTGTAGGATTTAATAGGGACGTTTGAGCTGATGTGCTGAACGTGGATTTCCCAAATACAACTCCTGCTTTGCGATATTCTTCTGGTGTCAATACTCCTGCTTTCTCTGAATTCTTTGAAGTACGCAGTTTTCCTGATGAACTAATGTTGACAGTTCACAGAAATGGTATCACAAAGATCAACACACTTCTACCAAATAATCAAATATAATCCAAACAAACGTTCAATTTAATTTATCAAGCTAATTGTAGCTTCAAAACCATCCCTCGTGGTGGGCTCCAGATAACAAGCTTGCCTCGTTTTTGTGTAAAAGAGAAAGGAAGGAATCAAATGGGCACTCCAACCAACCAATCTAATACACAACATGCAAGTTCATTGCTATCAAATTTATTTAATAGCAAGGGGTAGTGTTGTCAAAGGTTCCGCAAAGCTTTGAGAGCTAAGTAAGAAGCTTCGATCAATCAATTTGAATCATTCTAAGGATTCAATATATTCCTTTGATTAAGGTAGATTCAGCACAATTTGTGCTTTGATTGTATTGATATGGGTATATCAAGAATTGGGGGTTTGAATCAAAGTAAATTAACAACCGAAACACACAGACCCCTACAGAGGGCTAGAACTATGTGCTGGCACAACCACACAGCATGATTTGCCCTTAAGACCAATGACTGATCCTAAGTTTGAAGAATACCCAACAACTGGATATACTTCTCGCAGTCACAAGGAGCAGAACACAACGTTCCTATACTCACAAGTGCCAGGCCCGAATGGCTGCTAGCGAAGAGGTTTCAGTCTGGCGGGAGTGTGTCTTTCCTTTTTACGGATTAGCACTGCAACGTCGTCCCAAAATCACTTGTATTCCAGATACATCGGATCGCTATTTATACATACAGAATATAGAATCACACAGTACAATTAATTTAATACAATAAACATTCGGAACCGTAAGGAAACTTCTACAATCAGTCAGATACCATTTAATTTGAATCTTCATGTCCTTATTTGGCCCATAATGGTTCCAAGATTCTAGTATACCTCCCAACATAGGTAGGTACTTCAATATTCATTGAATTTAATTGTTTTGGAGAATGACTCAAATGGTGTTCAGCTGTCATTGCTGTTCAACACTTACTTCGATTGTTTGTCAACTCATCTGGAGGCAAATCAGCTCTCCTCGATTCTAATCCTATTAATCTGATTCATCTGGATTAAACTAATTGCTTCTCTCTTTCAATAGACACCCATTGTGCCTATACTCTATCAAGGGAGTTACACATAGTATTCTTTTAATTGCATTCTTCAATATTTTCTATGTCAGGACTCTTTGACATTTATTTGATATGTCTTCGGAGCCTCGCAGTACTTCGATCGTTCTTCTAGTCATTTTCCTCAACCATGCAACTTGATTGGTCTATTAGACTAAATCGCAGCCTTTTAGATTAATGCATGATCTCGTTCTAGAAGGAGTATTTGATAATTCCTGAGTTCTAGAAAGTCATTTTGAGTCAATCCTTGGTTCATGGTCACTTGAGTAAGTTCTTCCAAATTCCTGCCAGTGTAAGGTCCAATAAGAATACCCTGGGTATGTCATATGTGAATAGTCATCCTTTGGATGTAGTCCGAGTCTGGTATAATCCTGCTTGACAAACAGGTAGACTGCTATCCGAAGGTAGTATCGGAGATGGGTAAACTAACCAAGTTGTGGTAGTATGGGTATATGGTCCCTTCAACTTATTGGACTGATTCAGTATTGACTTTGACTGTCAATCTGGGTCTCAATTACAGTCCTCTCAATACAAATCTATGCGTGAAAATGTCACAATTCACAGCATAGACGTCTAGCCAAAATTTAGGCGTGTCATTGGTTTAGTTATATTCAAAGTTCATTGAATGAAGTAAAATCAGCATATTAATTATCAGAGGCAGTACGTATTATGGTCTTTGAAATTAACGAGAGATTAAAAATGAGAACTAGGTAAGGAGAGAGGATAATGTTAATCCGATGGTGTACTGATAGTAACAAGATCAGGAGTAGTTGAGGCTTCAGTATGATGACTATTTCCAGAATGTACCGATGCAACATCTTCAGAGTCTCCTACGGGGTTGGGGTAGACATGAGATTCATCATCGCTGTTCTCAATAGCATCCCAATCAACAGCATCAAGGTGTTGCTGATTGCACCAGCCATCTTGAGCCGTCATTGAATTCCCGCTAGAAATTTTGATAATGAGCTACCGTTAATCATCACATCAATGAAAGCTCATGTCGCTTCCACAAAAATCTTGTGCATGAGCCTGTGGTACTTTGAATGGTTCCTACTTTCAATCCCTTCCAGAATGTCGATCACCAAACCCCGAACACCATCGAGTTCGGGAGCCGGAAAGCTGCTCTTCATTCCTGTCAAATAATCATGTAAGCAAGCATGGAAAGCAAGTAATTAATGATAGAATGGTAAAAATGAGAAATGATGTACCGCCACAGCTGCAAGAGCTACCATACCTTTGGTTACCTCAAGCTCTTCTGACTTCTCGGAGTTCAAAGATTTGAATAGATGAAAGTTCCGCCTGACAATGCTGCTGTAGTAAGTTGATGAAAAAAAAAGCTTCCCGCAGAAAACTGGCGAAGACAGGGTGTTCGAAAGGCTTCCTGTAGTCTGGCTTTGGATCATGAATCAATAAAAATACATTGGAAAGTGTTTTCGGCACTCACCATCCCATTGGACATTTCAGGATAATAGTAGGTGCGTCTGCAAGCCAACGCACCTGCTTCGAGATGACCTGCATGGTTTACCAATCCAAATGCTTGAAGGATGGTTGAAGAATGAGCCTTGAGATCAGCACGTTCATTTCCAATGCGTCTACTGACCTGTGAAGAGATGTTATTGCCAGTGTTAGAGTAAAGGTAGTAGCTCACATAGGTTACCAAGGGAATACTGTATGAATCGTGGTCTCCATGCTCAAGCCGGTCACAGACATCATTATTGCCATTGTGACCTGACCTTTCAGCCATCTCCATGAGACACGCGTGTGCCAGCTGTTTGATTTTGAATGTATGAAGCGGCGAGTATTCGTGATTGAAAATCATTTGCAGTTTCCCATATGCAATGGATTTGTCAATGATTTGAAGCATTACTGGCGGTTGCCCAGTCTTAGCAAGAGTGAATGTTCGAACCTTTTTGATGACGTGAATGTTTGTGCATTCCAGCCACGCTGGAGCGGCCGGAGCAGTGTCGAGCTGACTGACAGTGGTGGGATTGGCAGCGTGGGTAATAGAAAGTGAACGGGAATGAACTTGAGTAACGGCGGTGGGAGCGGCGGTGTTGGTAATAGGAAGTGGACGTGAACGAACTTGAGGGAGCTGATTAATGGCGGTGGTAGCAGCGGTGTGGGTAATAGGAAGTGGATGGGAACGAACTTGAGGAAGCTGAGAAAGAATTAGTGGAGCAAGAGGCTATAAATCATGACACACCTCAGATCGTAATTTCTGTGCTTGATGACGAGTTGCCTTCTTGAGTGTCAGCTGTAATGTATTCATGGTCAGAACAAATGATAATTAGATGCAACTGTGCATGTACCTTGTTCTCTCCTAATTCACCAGGCAAAGTGGGTAAGAATGATTGAGTTGAATGACCAGATCCAGAGCGAGAAGTAGAATTAGCTGTGCGAGTATGATTATCGAGCATCCAAATATACTGTACATAATTTAAACGTGCCATATGAGAACTGAATGGCCTTAACAAAAATCAAAAACAAGAACTATCTCTCATTGTTGATTACGTACCTCAGCTTGAATATAATTTGATGCCTGTGCATCGTCTTCACGCTCTCCTTCAATCTCTGCCTCTGCGTCAAGTTCGTCCTCATATTCAGACGTGTTGCTTTCATTTTCATCATCTTGTTCTGGTTCTGGTTCTGGCTCTAAAGTCTTCTTTGCACATTTGTGCTTTGTTGGGAGAAGTTGTTCTATTCCGGAAAGTTAATACTCGGAGCCTTAGTTATTTAAAGTCAATAGTCACTGTCATCAGAGGAAGAATCTGTTCTGATACTTCGGACCTATGAAGGTATAGATATAAGGAAAGCATTACACAATATGATGGAAAATGGCATACAAGAAATTGAGGGTGTTTAGACGGCGTTGCCATCCAATTCTTGCTGCTTATATTGGTGACTATCCAGAGCAGATGCTTGTGACATGTAGTTATTATGGTACCAGTCCTGTGTGCACAGTCTCAAAAGATCAGCTTGGTGATTATCCCTGCTCTGCAGAGCTTTGTGATCCTATTGAAGCTGTTCAAGCTGCTAAGCTAATCAACACTGCTGAATGGACAAAGCACTGTAGTGATGCTGATATGAAGCCCATTCAACATCCTTTCTGGGAGGACCTTCCTTATACAGACATTTTCCACTCAATAACACTAGATATTCTCCACCAAATGTATCAAGGAGTAATGAAACATCTGATTGTATGGATCACAACCATTGTTGGGGCTGATGAAGTTGATGCACGTGTTCGACAACTCCCAGCAAGACATGGAATCCGCCATTTCCACAAAGGTATTACCACACTTTCACGGGTCAGTGGTACTGAGCATAAGCAGATGTGCACCTTCCTTCTTGCTTTGGTCACTGATATACCCAGAAAGACTACATCACAATCAAATCGCCTCTTGATTGCAACCCGTGCATTACTTGACTTTTTGTATTTGTCATGTCATCCTATTCACAGTGATGAATCTTTGACCATGGTTGAAACCTCTCTTTCCACCTTTCATGCCAACAAAGATATTTTCATTGAGCTTGGGGCTTGAGAACATTTCAATTTTCCTAAAATTCACTATCTATGCCATTTTGTCCCTGGGTTCAAGCTCTTTGGTACTTCTGATAACTATAATACAGAAACCACAGAACGTCTCCATATTGACTTCACAAAGGATGCATACCAAGCTTCAAACCGGAAGGATGAGTATTCTCAAATGACAAAATGGCTGCAACAACATGAAAAGGTTGTACAACACACCAATTACCTTTCATGGTGCAAGTTTCAGAGGGGTCTCAATCCTCAAAGCATACCCTTTATTGTCCCAGGTGTCCGCTATGACTTTCCAGGTTCCCAAAGATCATTACAGGATATGCAGTGTAGCTTAACACATGTTCTGACAAAGTTCCCTACTCGAAAAATGGTATCATTCTCAAAGCTCATGCAAATAGGGCCAGACCAACGGGGCTATGGAGCATGTAATTTTGAGTATGCATTGAAAATGTTCATTGTTCAGCACAGTGATCCTCAGTCTACTACTATTGGTCAAATTGAGGATATGACAACTTTTCTTTCACTTCCATTCCAAAGTGTACCAGTCTGGCATAGGATCAAATTCAGGAATGAGGACTTATATGGAACTAAGACCCTTGATGTTGTAGCTGCACATCCTTGTCGTTATAATTCACATGGCCAAATCACACATGATGCAGCACTGATCCAAGTTCAGCCAAAGGTTGATACTGGTGACTTGGACTTTTTCCAAGGTAGGCACAATTTCTATACTCTTTATCACTGGACTCTTAATTGGTCCTAGGATTACAAGTTGGTCATATTCGAGTCATTTTTTCAATTCCATCTCGGCACCTTGCTCGTCTAATTCTTCCCAAGGGTATTGTGCTGCCTACACATTTAGCATATGTTGAATGGTTTACAAAATTCTCTCATAAACCAGAACCTCATAGTCATCTTTACCGTGTAAAACCACTTTTCAACAGAGATGGCTCTCGAGCTGCATCTGTGATTTCTGTAGAGATGATACAACAAAGTGTACATCTGTACCCCAAGTGGGGTGGAGTAGTACCATCTACATGGTCATATGAGTCAGTATTAGACCAAAGCCCTTCATTTCTTGTCAGTCCTTTCACTGACATCCACACATACTTCAATATGACATAGATTATTTTGTAGAGCATTCTGACATCCTCAAAACTGTATGATTCTGGGTGATAATGCTTGCACATCATTTAGCTACATATGTGTCTACTTTTTACTGCTTAGCTATAGACCCTTGGATCTCTGCATGACTTAGTGGTATATCAGCATACATTATTTGATTGATCTTGAAGTTTACATTGGAGAGAAAAATTAAAGACAATGCAAAGAAGCTCTTGGCTTATTAATTTGTTCACTATGTGAACTTCAGTTTTAATGAGGACTATTATACCTATATAGTTCAGAAATATGTCAAACAAGTTTCTAAATAGATTGATTTTGTATGACATTTGAGAAATATCAGAAATTTTGAAAATCTAGGATTGGTTTGTCACACTTTTCGAAAATTTCATGTAATTGTCTCATATTTCAAGGGGACGGTTTTCCTGATGCAATTGCCGGGCTGCGCTGGGCAAAGTGTGCCCTGAGTGATACGGCTCTGACATTGCCCTGTCAAATCTTCTCCTAAACATATTTGGCAATGCCTCATTCATGCCCTTTGCCTACCCCTTAGACCAACAACCCCCACCCATCTCTAACATTTACTGCCACCTCAGAACCATTTAACCAGCCAAGAACAAGTTGAAATCGGCTCCTAGAACGCTGTGGCACCTCATACAAGTTTCATTCCTACTTTTCAGCACACTCACGTATCGTTGCCAAACATACTAAACCCATTCACCCAGGTGCAGTTTGCATCGTCCTTGGCACCAGAAATCCCACATTAAAGTGACCATGCCAATCAAATTCAGTATATTGCCTCCGAGTCGGAATCCATGCCCCAAAGACATTGTGTTTCGTTCTGTACTTTAATGATGTGTATCTGAATTTCTGACTAGTCCAGTACGATGCACACTTATTGTATCAGTGGCTTTCCAAAATTTATCGAATCAAAAATATAGCTCAATGTTATTATGTAGTATACTTATGCATGATAATCAAGCTGAGCACCATGGTAAGAGCTTGTTCTTTACACATGCAAAGTAGGCCTCGACAAACTTTGGAAAATCAGGTAAATTCCTCTGTGTGGTGGTTCGATCAATGAACTCTTTGACCCCTGGCTTTTGCTCGAAATCTGCCCAATCATTCGAATTCTCCAGGTTCTCTGCCCTCATTGGTATATTGCGAAACCAAAGGAACTGGGTCCATCGAACCTGATACTCTAATTTCTCCAAGTACGATTTGGCCTCTTCATCGGTCATAGTGTTTCGTCGCTCCATGTGGACAGGAGAAAACCCAGGTGCAGGGCCCACCATATCGAACGATAATGAGAGGGACTTTTCCTCGGCCTATGGCGTGCACTTCAAGTCAAGTAAACGGTCGAGCGGTTAAGTAGGAACTGGACAAACCTTGGGTAGCACGCTCATAGGATCAGAGTGAGCTAGTATCCTATGATCATCAGTGATCTATAAAGACGAGTGTTTTCGTGAGCCTGATAATTAAATGGGTAAGAAAGGAATATATATTACGGACAATGTCGGCAAGATGTTCTGAAGCTGTTGCAACACCGACCAGCGTCTGAATGTCAGTCTTGAGCTGAGGCTGATACGTAGGTCAGTAGGTGAGATATAGTAGCTAAAAATGGGAATATACACATTTTCATTGCTCAAAAACGGGGTGGGATCCTCGTCAATGTGATCTTCCACACCCAAACGCTCGAGGGGATGGGGATGCTACAACAGAGCCATAGTCAGTATAGACGACGTGCCAATAAATTACAAGAATCTTACCCATTCATCATCCTCGAAGACGGATAATTCCAATTCACGAGCGTCCACGGTAGGCGCTATCACTGTCCCCGACACTGACACCGTGCGACCGAGAGCATCAGAAGACGGCAGTGGAACAGCGAGAGCAGAAGAGGCAACTCCGATAGCGACGACAGCTGTAAGAACTGAACGAGAGTAAACCATTGTCGACGAAGTTTTTTTTAAGTAGGATGAGTTTGTCAAGTGACCTGCAGGTTGATTGCGAGAAGAGGCCAGCTCTGAGGGAATGTAGAAGAAGAGGGATCAGTTTATATACCTTATTTTGAGTAACCTGAAATAACCGCTGGAGATATCAGGTCGGAGCTGATGCTGATACAAATCTGTCAACTTTTTACCAGCCGTTGTCGTGGCAGCAGGGATTATTGCCTGTCAATGTCATTGCCCATTGTTCATCGAGTTCTATGGAAGTATCAGAATGAGCCTCGTTCTCTCTCTCGCACCCCTTGCCTCTCGCTCTACTCACTATGTACCGAAATACCCTCTGCTCAGTGTTTTTCACGTCCTATAAAAACGCGCATATATCCGACGCCTAAGCCTACGGAAGCTCGGGCACCTTCACACCAGGAGTCCAGGACTGACGAGCCATCAAAAGACCCCCTGAGTCCTGACTTACACATTTTCCGCATCAATTCCTCAAAAAGGCTCAACTAAGGCACACATAAGGTAGCATATCGGATACTCACATTTCGTGAAGCACATGCAATGCCTGTGCAATGCTAATCTGGTAAAAATGGACTGTGTGTAGATTCAGGAATGACTTGTTTCATCCGCTAAATTCACGCTTCCCAACTTGCCCCCCGATGGCTCGAAAAAATAACGGTGTTCCATGGTGTTCCTCCACTACAAGCAGTGTCTGATCTTGTCTGATGTGAGTTGAGAAATGGAGGTAGATTTAAACTCCAAACATCTGTTGGACCCCCTCAACGGACCGGTAGTTGTCCTGTAGCTCGTTCAGCTCACACAAGAGAATATATCTGGCAAATACATAGCGTAGAATCTGATACCATATGCACCTCTTGTGGGTTCCGCCAGAATATGGTCAAGATGAATGCTCTTCTAGCGAGGATTCTTGATTTTCAACGTCTGCCTCCTTGGAGGGGTCTGCTTTAGGCCTAATTATTGTAGAGTCACTGACTTACTCACCAAAATGGATTCGTCAAAACTTTACATGAAGCGCACAGACCAGTCAATATCCGGAACTTCCGGGACGAGCTTACGCCAACACTCTCTTCCTTCGTCCATATGCGCTGAATTTTAGAGTCCTTGGACAGTGATACACCAGGACCGCGGCTATGGAACAAACTTCAATCTTCCCTATCCTTCAACCGTAAACTCAGAGGTTATGATCTTCCTCTGCCACTCAATTTAGTGCGCCTCTACTCCTGAATGAAACTCGAATGCTTGAAAGGCTTTCCAGATCTCCATCCAGACGACTAAACCCGCGCTTCGGCCGTTATTTTGTTGAGCAAGTCATCCAAATTTGAGCAAATCCCCGCAAAAACTTGTGATGCAGGCCTGGAAGAACCCCTAAGGTTTGAAGTTCAGAGAAGTTGAAAGAGACGCGATCTTCTGCAAGGTCTGGTGAGTAAGTATAGGATATCCATCGAAGATCTTGCTCACAACCTCGTTCGCTCAAACTAATGCTATGCTCTAGGCCATATCATTGGACCATATCTCTGGTTTAAACTCTAGAAGAAAGTTCGCAAGTTCGGCGTCGCATTGTGACTCGTCGCTTTGCTCAACTTCCTTCTTGCTCCGACGTCCCGATGTCTAATTTGGGATATACAGCGGTTCAAGCTGAACAGGGTATATAAAGCATCTCAAGCCATGCATTATTGGAATCACCGGGTGTTGAATTGCGATCCTCTTTCCAAGGACGACCTTCATCTCAGTCGACACGGTTCAACCATCTAACGTCCATCAACATCATGTCAACAAGCCAAATCATGCTCGCCGACCGTGAATCTATCTCTCCTTCGACCTACACCGACGTTGAGCGAGGCTGGATCAACGTCAAGGAATGCAGTGGCCATGGACCTTCTCCTAGTACCGGAGGAAGCTCGACGATCCCGATTATGTCCCATGGACATAGTTTCGGGAGGACCACCTCAGGGAACGGGAGGATCGCCAGTCCTGGTCCTGCGTCAGTCATTTTTGTTCTCAAAATCTTTTTCTGAGCTGATCTCCTATTGAAAATCGTAGTGGCGCTATTTCTTTCGCAGCGACTGCACTCCTACTTTCGTTGTTCAATGTTCAAGCTGGAGGCGTAGAACATCCCGAGGTGTTAGTGAGTATGGTGCGTATAAGGTTTTTAATTCCGCGAAATATGTAATTTATTGAATGCTATTCCAGGCGGTCTTCACAGGTGGTCTTTCCCAATTCATGGCAGGAATGTGGGAGTACCCCAGAGGAAATGTTTTCAACGCTACTCGTAAGTTTCTTGTGCCTTTTTGCTTTCCTTTACATTTATCCCATTGGCCGCCCTTTCCATAGTATTCTCGCTTTACGGCAGCTTCTGGATGTCATATGCTACGATCTTCATTCCTGCCTCTGGTATCCTCGCTGCGTACGAAGATCCTTTGGAGTTGAGTCACGCCTTGGGGTTATACTTGATTACTTGGACGATAGTGACTGCCTTTTTCTTGTAAGCTTGTAACCTTTCCTTCAAGATGTCTATCCCCATCTCTTTATTTTCCTTCGTTGCCTTGTTTCTTCTCCGTATTCATTTCGTTTAATTTCTCCTTCGGCTTGTGTCCGCTCCTCCTCGGATCCTTCGACTATTTCTGTAACCTTCCAAGTTAAAATTATCATTTCACAGATTCGTCGTCATTCGTCGAAATCTCGCCCTCACTGTCATGCTCTCTACTATCTTCATCACCCTCGTCATCCTCAGCACCTCGCAATACAGTCTCGCCGGTATGCCAATGTAAGTAGCTTCCTCCTTTTCTGCAGGCTACGATCTGCGCATGCGGTTTCCCATATAGCTAATACCTCTTCCTTGATCCCCATACTAAATTCCAGTCTCTCCCTCAGAGTCCAGAAAGCCGGAGGAGTATTCGGTATCATCGGCGCTCTGCTCTGTTTCTATATCGGTGTCAGTGAGCTTTTGGAGGCGGAGCTTAGGCCGATCGTGAGGCTTCCCCTCGGGGTGTTGTGATTCAGACTTGGTGAGTAAGTGTCAACGTTGGTCTTCTTGACTGGTCTTTACCTCAAGGTTTGACGAAGGTCTTCGTTTTGGATAAAGCTCGAAAGCAAGTTCATGGCGTAGGGTGCATGCACGATTCCGCGGGAGAACTGGAGAGTTGAACAAGCTTTATCTTTTTCTACTTAGTTGCTAACTGACCCTGTTACGGTATAGCAAGCTTATGTATAGTTATTGAATCTGCGGTGGATACTTTCTATTTTCTTGGACCCTTCGCCCCCCCTCTCTTAGCATTTCCATCCCTTTCTTGCACTTGCGATTCGTATACTTGCACATTAGCTCTCGAGTCGATACAGATCCTGATTCTGACTCTGACTGTTTATAGTATGATTTACTAGCGCTAATCATATACGTGATACGTCTCCTGCTAAGGGCCAAAGCGTCGAAATGCATACCACATTAGGAAGTCGTAGTCCTATCCGCTTTTCACTCTACAATCACTGGTTTGTTTTGAGTAGTGTGTTTAGCGAAGCCTGCGCCGACAAAGTCTCTCATTTTTTTTTTTTCAATTATGAGTTACGCTGTTTCACGCTCGAAGTATTTCTAGATCTTGAAGGGATACAAAAGAATCCGCCTGAATCCGCGTTCTAATAGGTTCTAATTCTTTTAAACCGTTCAGGCGTAGTACACCTATCCGATAACGTATCACCTATATTATGACACTCCGAGGTATCCTCGCTATTGCAATCATTGCTACTGCTCAAGTTATCTCCCGAAAGCTTTCCCAGAATGTCACGGTCATATCCAAGTTATCGAGGATAAAACCACCAAATGAACTCCGGAATTAGGCAAGGAAAATGGGGACCAGAGCATGCACTGTATTGCAGACTCCCTCAGACTCCTCATTTTAAGTTCGTTACAACAAGAACGTCAATGAGGCTACGATAACTTGAAGTACATCGATGGCCCAGGATCGAATAGAATGTAAAGGATGGATTGGCTTGACAATTGCAAGGCAAAAAAATGCGGAGGATCCAGGAGTTTTTTGTTAGGATTTCCGAAGGTTGTTATATTTCGGGATTCAAGTTCGTAATACTATTTTCAAGGTCCCCAATGAGCGTTAGCATATTGCAATGAAGGACTGAGATCAATACAATATTTGAGGGTAATTTAGACAAGTGGTAGTGGATTTTGTGACCTCCCTTACGAGATGGAACCTCGAAAATATGCGATCGCAGATCGGGGGAACCTAGAGTGCTCGGTGCGAGGGCAACGGTTAAGATAGGTTCCCGAGTCCCGAGAATCTCACGTGATCCCAGCTACATGGTAACAGTCTAGAGCGCTCACCGCCAGCTCCTCATTAGTCCTCATTGCTCGATGAACCCGAATGCTGCTCGAAGTGCCATCTCCGCTGCACATCGAGTTAGAACGATAGCCGCAACCTGTAACAAAGGGACTAGGATTTGTTCAACATCCCGCACACTTGGAAGGGTCTATAATTCATCTCTATCCACATCTACATCGTCGTCTTCAACACCATCTATAGAGCATAATATATTCAATGGATCTACAACTAACCATAATTCCCACTCGTCCCAGTCCCATGGTGCGTAACTTTCACAGTATCCAGAAAAAACTCATTTGAAACAAAATTTCAGGACACAAACAACCGTTGGCGCACTATCACAACCTAGTAGAAAGCGGGACACTAAGAGGAGACGAGCATCAGACTCGTATAATACAGAAGCTACAAGATTTACACGACGAGTTGATGGATTATACTCCTCCACCTATACCAGACGCAGATCCTTCAAACTCTCTGGTAAGCTCCAATTTCCTCATGTGCACCTTGCTCGTATTTCTTATATCCCCATCTTCCTTCCAGATTTCCCGTCTTTTCTCCCGAAACGATCCGACTCCCAGTCAACCTCCTGAAGATGTACCAAAGGGTCTATACTTATACGGAGACGTTGGAACAGGCAAAACGATGCTCATGGACTTGTTCTACTCATCTCTTCCTCCATACATTCAACGTAAACGACGGGTGCACTTTCATGCATTCATGATCGATGTCCACAAAAGGCTACACGCAGCCAAGATAGCTATGGGTTACAAAGGCGGTGATCCAATTATACCGGTGGCAAGGGACCTTGCGAGGGAAGCGTATGTTCTCTGCTTCGATGAATTTCAGGTGCGGTCTCTTACTTGATTTTTAGGTTCGTATGGTTGACCTCTAACGGCTGTCTAGGTGACTGATATAGCGGATGCGATGATTCTAAGGCGCTTGTTAGAGAATCTGTTAAATTATGGCGTCGTAGCTGTTATAACTTCAAAGTGAGTTTCTCTTGTATGATTCACAAGACCAACGCTAACGATGCTTTTCGGTTACAGTCGACATCCGGATGACCTTTACAAGAACGGCATTCAGAGGTCAAGCTTTGTACCTGCCATTGAGCTATTGAAGAGTCGATTTGATGTCACTGACCTCGACTCGGGAACCGGTGAGCTCTTACTACCGTTCTCTGATATCCGTCATCCTATTCATGTTTATCTAGACTACCGCCGCGTACCTAGAGCCCTCTCCAAGGTCTACTACCATCCATTGACACCGTCGAACGCACTAGAAATAGAGAAGATTTTTAAATCCATGACGCATCATGATGACAAGGATCCCCCTGTCAAGAACCGCCAACTTACAATCTGGGGTCGCAAGCTCAGCATACCGGAAAGCACTAGCAAGGTTGCAAAGTTCAGATTCGATGAGTTGTGCGGGAAACCATTGAGCGCAGCTGACTACCTCGAGATAACAAAGACTTTTGGGACATTGTTTGTCCTAGACGTCCCGAAAATGGGGATGGACAGTAAAGACAAGGTATGCGGTATGAGTGCTGACTGTTTTTGTTGGGCTGACCACCTTTGACTTCTTAGGCTCGGAGGTTCATTACATTTATAGATGCTTGCTATGAGAGCAAGGTACGCTGACGTTCTCTCGTTTTCGTCGGCGCAATCTCATTCATTCTCCCGCAGACGAAGCTTTTCGTCACTTCAGAAGTACCGGTATTTCAAGTCTTTTCCGACGAAGACGCAGCTTCAGGAAAGCCCATTTCTGACCACATGCGTGGTATAATGGATGATCTGGTTCGTTTCTTTTCCTTTCTGTATATGTTTGCATCGCCCATTCATTGAAATTTTTTGCGTAGGGTATTTCGCAAGACGTAGTGGGCAAAAGCTCGATTTTCTCTGGTGAAGAGGAGTTGTTTGCTTTCGCTAGAGCCTGTTCACGTCTGGTACAGATGGGAAGTAAAGAATGGGTTGATACTGCTGGCCAGCATTAATTTACATCTAATATGTATATTATATTGTATATAGTTATTTACTTCGAGGAACGGACGATAAGTTATGGTGAAAATGTTTAGAGCTAGGAAGAGAAACGGCGCCAAGACTGTTTTCAGAAATGAATTCGGATAATTTGGTCATTTGTTATGTTTGGTTTGATATACTGTATGCAGCACAAGGTGTTATGGATAAGGATACAAGATGGTTATTTTGTTATTGATACTTCTTGACGTGAAATGACGGTTGGTTAACAACCTCATCATATACCCGACAACCCTTTCCCTTTGCTGTCAATGACACCACTACCGCGTGCAGCATTGGTTATGAATGTCTGACTGGAAATTGCGTCTCCAGGCTGATCTCTTCCTTTCTTCAGGATGATCTCCACGACATCTACGTCTTTGCTAGAACCAAAATCGTTCTCTAGCTGCTGCTTGGATGCTTGACCAAGTAAACCTTGGTTACCCGACGTGCTGTAGAAAACATGGAAGGCTAAGGATTCAACGAAGTGTCAGATTTATGTCGCTAATATAGGAAAGCAACAACATACAGTCTACCACTTCGGCTAATGGTATCGATCTGTGAAAACACTGTGAATTCCATGGTTAACTACTCGAAAGGAATTGCGTTACGTGTCTACGAAAACAAAAAATCAGAGGCAAATCGAGAGACAGTCAATGTTTACACACCTCCTTCACTCCATTTCTTGTACTAAAGATGAGTTGATCAGCACGATCCCCAGCGATTAAAGATTAACAACAACGTACCTCTGTTGGGTTCACGATGATAATGTACTCTTCAGATTTCTGAGGATCTGGTTTGTAAACGACTTTGGTGAGTTCGCGAGCCATGTTGAATGAGGAGCTGATTAAAGTTTTGGGTTGTTACGAATGGTGGAAAGAAAGAGAGCAGGCCAGGCTTTTATACTTCCGCCTATAGGTTAAGGTCGCGTGACGTAGATCGACGTCATGGATGGAATTAAATTTCCACGCCTCATCGACGCGTTCTGGAACTTTTAGCGACAAGTACGCGTTGCGCTCTCGCCTAAAGGCGATGAATTTGCTGTGCAGAAAGACACAATGTCCAGACCCCGTCGTTTCTGTCCCATGGTCAGCCATTTGACCTTGTTTTCCAAGGTTCAACCCGTTCAAGTTGTCTCGGCGCCTTATCGGTGTGAATGGTTCCCTTCATCATCCCCAATTATAACTTGGTCGCTCCCATGAGCTCCAGGGGTCCCATCACAAGTGGCCTGTTAAAGTTGAGGTCCCAATATGTACAACACCATATCACTCGCTGTGATCCGCAGAATGAATGTCGAGAAGGTTGATCGACGATAATTTTCTCTTGGTACAGCTTGATACGTACTCCTCTCCAACCATTAGGCTAGTGGCGCGAGGTATCGACTTGATAATATTGCGCCTTCGGCGGCGGAAATGCAGGATTGTCATTTCGAGTTTAGCGAAGGTAGTCTCTCTTTCATGGCAGGAAACAAGGAATTGCGGAGTAATGCACACAGGAGAACTTACTCTACTTGGAGTAGAGGGTACGACGTACATTTTTCTGGTCGAGTTGTGCAGAACCAAAGCAACGATCTTTAATCGTATCATGGTCATTATCTTTTACTATCGCTCACTAGTATATTAACCGTGCTAGAGACCCGGACCTCCTCATACACATTAAGGACTTGGGGAATTTCCTTGAAGAAATAAGTTGGTCAACAACACTAGGACGGATTATGCAAGTGTTGCGGTCTACCAAAAAGAAGGCACATACCTAGAATAGTCGGGGTTTACCAGGATTCTATCTGTGAATCCAACCCGAATCCGAGATATTGAGTGTACAACTGGATGTGCGTCGAATCTGCTCCAGCTTTGAGGGTAAATTTTTTTTGCAGATAGGAATGGATACATTGTGTATTTCCATAGAAAAGTCCAGAATCCCGATCGGCCCAGGTGTAACGCAACACCGTGACAAATGAATAAACAATTACATGGCTTATTCAAGCGAGCTCTGCTGGTCCAGCGCGGACCAACCGACAGAACGTTGAAGTGGACTCCCACCATTCCCGGAGAGTTTTCCTAGATTGGCGAGCGGTACCAAGGAAGGTCTAATTCCAGAGATTTATTAATAACGATCCCCGGCGGAGAGAACAATGCGACAGGATGTACCTTCCATGGGCGCACTGGAATGGAAAGACGGTTTCAGATAGCTGGTGAACTAATCGAATACATTGTTCATTGGTCAACGAGTCGTTGAACATGATAGCACCTGAAATGTTCAATTTCTCGGGATCAGCACCGAGACCAGCACTAAAGTTGTATTCAGTCGTATCGAAATCTCGACTCTCTTACCTCTGCAGGCCTTCGAGTTAACCAAGTCGAGGAGTTCTCTAGGACACCACCGCAAAGCCTTCAACCAATCGCTTTCATCCACACTAGTCTCGGAGTGTTTGCCTTGAATCCGTGACATGTCAGGCAAATCCAACTCCAACTGTGCAAGATACCCTTTGACCAGATCCCGCAGTTCGTTTCCCATTGTAAGCTGTAAAAGGCAAGACAAGTGAATTGGTGAAACTACGAGAAGTCAAGAGATATTGCTCCCATACCTTATCAGCAACCACTTCTGGAACACAGACCGTGAAAACCTGGACATATCTATCATTGTCCCGGTCAAAATCGCTTGAACTAGTGTCTATTCCAAGTTCAATCTGAGCCAAGTCAGCGAAACGGATACCCCAACTATGGAATGAGCTCTCAATCTGTTTAGAATGAGCCAACCGAGAGGCTTCATGCCGAGTCAAAAGAACGGGCATCGGAGGCGTCAGATGACGCATTTCTACACCTTCCTCCTCTTGACCTGAACAGTTTCGCAAGAAGCCGAGGCACAATTCCTTCAAGAATCTTTCTACTCTAATCCGCTCGTCGGCTGCGTGCTGTAAAGGTATTACCATATTAGAGCTGTGATCCTCGTGTAGCGTCCGTTAGGTCCACTTGCCTGATCGATAAGGATTAGCGTCAAGTTTTCAGGAGACGACTCATTCTTTCGAAGATCTCCGTGAACGAGATCCTTGTTGAATACACACGCAACGAATTTTCGGTCTACCTGACTTATGACGCGGGCTCCACGAATATCGTCTTTGTTGAACCGGTGCTGTGCGTGTACGTTGGAATCTCCTTTGCTGGAGAGAAACAACTTTGAAAAATGCTGACGTTGCTGAAAATGCGTCTGCTGGTCGGAGAGGCAATTGTGCTGAAGCGTATCTGCGGCGGATCCAATTGTGATTTCGGCTATTCTTTTTTCGGTGATAGCATACGTGTCGTTCGCCTAAAAAATGCATTAACTTGGGAAAGAATTGGAACACTATCCTAGTGTTTGATTCACCTCTAGGGCTTCTTGGATCCACCCTGGAGCCGGTCTTAATCGACTCTTATCTTCAGAACTAGTGTTGGGCAGAGACAACGTGCGTCTTTGCCGCAAAACACGAAAGTGGCGGTTCTCAGCTGTCTCTTCCAGTGCAAGGCGAGGTTGGGTCTGAGGGCGCGAATTACCAGTACGAGAATCAACTATGAAACTCTCCCCGGTGTTAGGATCCGTCCAGACCAGCTCATTTGTCCCATGCTTTTCCTATAACCACTAGTCATCAGCAGTGGATAAGGTACCGAGATCCCGTTAGATCTTACTGCATAAAGGTTCAGAGGTGCCGGAGGGACAGTCATGTCTTCCTCCTCATATTCCTCGGGTATAACTTCCGCGTATCCAGAGTCTTGTTCAAAGTCGAGTCTTTTCCGTTTACGTGGCGATCCGGTACTACTACTAATCTCATGTGTCCTCGACGTATTATTCCTTGGAGCGATGAACCCATGTCGGACCAAGAATGATACGATCGAAGATGATAGAAATTCCGCTACGGCAGTTTTGTTCTGGGAGGAGAGTCGAACAAATGTAGTAAATCGCTGCAGAAGCTATGTCATGGGAGATTCGCACCTGGAAATGAAGCGCTCCTTTTGCAGGTTCCAACAAGTTATCAATCTGATGTGGTGAAACGACCAGATTAAGGACATAAACTGGTTTTTTTTCTGTCTTACGCGGGGAGCGCCGGGTAGCTACAGAAATTACTCGGTTTGAGCACCGATAATGTCAGAATTGGAGTTGGCACCGCTCACAAGAACGCTGTGTAGCTCCAATCTCATCAAAGGCCTACGTACGCCGTTTATGAGAAAGCTCAGAAACAAATCGTTCAAGGACATTGCCACTTACGTTCTTCGCGAAAGAAGAGGCGGCGAACTTGTTGTCGATTATGCGATGTAGATCTCCTGATGGAATTGGGTGTCGATTGACGTCTGCACAGTACACAAGCGGCGTCAGATTATGGCTCAATCGTATTTTTTCAATTGACACATACAAAGAAACTGATACGCCTGAGAAAAAGGCTTCGGTTAGTACGGGAAGAAGTGGAAGGAGGATAAGCTGACCTTGGATAAGGCGCCATCAAGACTGATAAAGCCTTCCAGTCTCATTTCTCCTGAGATCAAGGATACCTCTTCTACATGCTGGGAACGGGGCAGTGAGTTGGGTGGTTCTAGTGTAACACAGGGAGACTAACATGACACAAAGCACGCCCATACAGATGTCGAAATACGCTAATACAGGACGAAGTCTGGGAAGGAGCATATATCCATGATCAGGGCGTGATTTTGATTGATTTCTGTTTTTAAGTTCCAACCTTAGGAATTCTCAGTACATTGCTCTTCGAAGACCCAAGAAGCTTTGCTTGAGTATCTTCGAGAGCAAAAGAGACTTCAGGATGCATGAGCGCCCAGGATTCTATTTCTCCACGGATAATTTCGAAGGTCCGCGAAGGTGACGGGTGTGAGCGTCGTCGAACAGGAAGCTGAATAGAGTAAAATTGGTTGGGCGATTCAAACCAAAGGTAGTAAGACTACAAACGTTGTAAAATGCGTCTCTGACGCAAATTGTTGTCCCATGGGATTCTCTTCGCCAACGAACGGCAGATCCTGAGTAGAGGATTTTTCCGTCCTGATTTCGTTAGTCTGTCGCTTCACACAGTAGGTCGACGAAGAAACATACTTTGAGGATGATCGACCACGTTTCTCGTGAACGCGATGTCCTCGAGGCTATTTCTAGGCAGCACAAATCTGCCGCAGAAGCCAAAGCTTCATAGATAATCTCATTGTTTGCCTTTGAGTTGAGAAGCAAGAATGACTGACCTTCGCCCCGGAAGCCGAATGTAGTGAGACAATCTAATGTATCAGGACTATATGCCTTGGATGTTCCTGCATTCAGTGTGAATTCAAATTGTTCGACAGACGAGAGACTGTCGACGTACGGTACCGTCCTTCGCTTCCAAACTGATTCAGCTCGTCCCTGCTCATGCCAGAGCCGTCGTCTGTGACCCAGCAGCTCCATTCCGCACAATTTATGCCAATCTCTATATGCTTTGCACCAGCGTCAAGCGAATTCTGGAAGAGTTCTGATACAATTTGAGGTAAAGAAGTTAAAATTTGTGTCGAGCGTAACTTTGTCTGAGTAGCAGAACTGAGACGGTCGATAGACGGGTCAACCATTTAAGCTATTTAAAAAAAGAAGAAAGGTCATGAAGACCAATGCAAGAGCCCAGGCCAAGCCTGTAATTGTCGTGGGTGTCGTGGTTCAAACGTTCAAGGTTGGAGAATGATAAGTTAGCTCCGCGGAGCAAACACGCGGACCGGGACCCGGATCTCGGGTTAACCCCACATTGACCTCCTTAACTCATCATAATGTTCTTCAAAGCTGGAACCCGCAAGGCCTTACAAAAAGTTTGCCTTCAAAAATGTTCAAAGCGGCTGTACCATCCCACAGTTCTGCCTTCCCTCATTTCTACAACTTCACCAGAGTTCATTTCGAAGAAAGAGGCAATGGATGACTTAATCGAAGAACTTGACGCGAAGACGGCAAAAGCAAGATTGGGCGGAGGCGCTACAGCTCAGGAGAGAATGAGAAGCCGAGGAAAACTGCTACCGAGAGAACGGTGTGTTGATTGATTCTCTATCTACATTGATTATTGACTCTCTGCTCTCTGGTTCACGAAGACTTGCACTATTACTTGATCCGCATACACCGTTCTTGGAACTATCATCACTGGCTGCGGAAGATGTTTACTCTGACTATATACCTGGCGCAGGCCTCATTACCGGAATTGGTCGGGTCTCCGGTCGCGAATGCATGGTTATTGTCAACGACGCGACGGTGAAAGGAGGATCGTATTACCCTCTAACAGTACGTGTCGACTTCACTTCCGACCGAGCTATGAGCATCAACCTAACTCTACTTTTGTTCTAGGTCAAGAAACAACTACGTGCGCAGGAAATTGCCCGAGAACATGGATTACCCTGTGTCTATATCGGTGATTCTTGTTCTACCCACTTCGATTTATCAATTGATTTACCTTGAAACAGTCGAGTCTGGAGGTGCTGCTCTACCTCATCAGGCCAACGTTTTCCCAGACAGAGAGCATTTTGGAAGGATTTTCTATAATATGGTACGTTGGATGTATTGCATCGGGCTTCTCAACCGATGTTCGTTGGTTACTCATTCAGACCGCGCGCTGCCTGGCATGACTTTTAGGCCCAAATGTCTGCCCTGGGAATACCTCAAATATCCTCTATACACGGTATCTCGGTCGCCGGAGGAGCCTATGTACCCGCCCTCGCAGACGAGAACGTCATCGTCCAAAATCAAGGTCGAATATTCCTTGCAGGGCCTCCCCTAGTTAAAGCCGCCACCGGAGAGGAAATAGATGACGAGTCGCTCGGAGGGGGAAGGATGCATTCCACGGAGAGTGGTGTCACCGATGCACTCGCTCGAGATGACAATGAAGCTATCATACGTGTCAGAGGGATCATTGGAGATTTAGGTCAAGCAGGATATAGAGGGGTTCTTCCGGAACAGAAAGTCGAAGGTCCTGTATACTCTGCTGAAGAATTACATGGGATTGTTGGGACGGATGTAAGGCAGCCGTTTGATATGCGAGACGTGATTTCTCGCGTAGTGGACGGAAGTCGGTTTAGGGAATTTAAGAAGGATTATGGCTCGAGTATAGTCACGGTAACTTCTTGCTTCGCGCCTTTGATTTGCCGACTCCGTCTAAACCCCACGCATAGGGGTTCGCTCACATACATGGCTATCCTGTAGGTATAATCGGGAACAACGGAATTCTCTTCTCCCCTTCTGCTCTCAAAGCAACGCAGTTCATCCTCTTATGTTCTCAAAGGCAAATACCTCTATTGTTCATGGTGAATGTCGCCGGGTACATGGTAGGCAGTAAAGCAGAAAAAGGCGGTATAGCAAAAGATGGTGCGTGGTTCTCAATGACTGTAGCATAAGGATCGGCCACAGATATCGAGCTCATTTCCAGGTGCGAAGATGGTCCGGGCGGTAGCATGTGCAGATGTGCCTAAGTTGACTGTCATCGTAGGTGGCAGTTTTGGGGCTGGAAATTATGGTGAGTTAAGATCTATTTCGTATGGTGCTTACATACTGATGTAAACCACAGGCATGGCTGGGCGCGCTGTAAGTCATCTCCGCATGCTCACCTCAGACAAATGCAAATAACCTTTTTAGTATTCTCCGAGGTTCTTATGGATGTGGCCTGTAAGTCGCAGTTTAGATTTGAACCGAACCCACCTTAGATGCAGCTGCTAACCACGTTTGTCACCAGAACGCAAAAATCAGTGTCATGGGCTCCGGTCAACTCTCACAGGTGATGACCTCCGTGTCAAAGGATCCCAGTCAACATGCAACACTCAAATCAGAAATCGAGCATCAATCTACAGCGTTGTACTCAACGGCAAGATTATGGGACGATGGGATAATTAAACCCACGGATACAAGGGATGTTGTTGGGCTGGGTTTAGCACTGGCCTCAAGGAGACCCAGTAGTGGAAATCAATCAAGAACAGGACGATCCACGACGTGGGATGGCAACGGAATGGGCTTTGGGGTATTCAGGATGTAAGAACTATGAATGAATAATGTTGAAGAACCTTGTATAATTTTTGTCTATGTACTTCGTCTTTCGCCGAAATGCGCTGACTAAGTGCGCCGAAGCGGGTGTTTTACACACCTGGCAAATGCCTTTCTTCATTCCTCTCCCTTCTTGCCCGATACTTGGAACAGCACTCTCGATGTTCTAAGGTTCGAAATCATCGCAGGCACATCGACCTCTTCATCAGACGACCAGCTCCACACCCTGTTTCAATTGTCACTGTTTTACATACGCGCCCTCAACCGAAAAGAGGCTTGAAGATTACACGGTACACGACCAAATAGCTTATACATACTCTCTGCATATTTAGACACCAGAAGATAAAGCTTATTAGAAAGATATCATGGATCACAAAAAGATATTGATGGAACTTTCGAAGCGGGAGGATTTGAAAAACAAAGTATGTGCTGATTGCACGAACCCAAATCCGCAGTGGGCTTCATTAAGGTGAGTTGGAGCTTAGGCAAATTGCCTCTGTCGAAAAGATTGAATATTAGCCTTACTGACAGTGATATTTTTTTTCCATATCTACAGTTTTGGAACGTTCATTTGCCTCCAATGTGCGGGTTTACATCGTGGATTCGGTGTTCATATTAGGTGCGTCTGTAATTTCTACCTTGTGCAATTCTGGTTCTAATCACTATGATTTTATGATATAGCTTCGTGCGTTCGATATCGATGGATACGTGGCAGGACGAGCAAGTGAAACGGATGCAGGTTAGTGTACATTTGTGATCTCCTGTAATCACAGCTTCGAACTTTCTCCATGCTTAAGCTAGGAGGAAATGCGCCATTTCGCGACTTTTTGAGATCCTACACCCCCATAGAACAAGGAGGATACAGTGACACACTTAGCCCTTACGATACGTATCATTCTTGGGCTGCTACCCAGTATAGAGAGAAAGTACGCTGTTCAACTCACAGTTATTCAAATTATGTATCGATCCTTCCAATAGCTCGATGCCATGCTATCCGGGAAAGACTGGTCACCTAGTCCCCCTCCAGAAGGCACTGCCGCTAACACTCCAGAACGCCCTTCCTCCGCCCAAGGGCTCCGTAAATCCCGCGCTACCTCTCGTGCTATGGCCGGTAGCGCCCTTCGTTCCTCTTCAGGTGCCTCCTCCCCCGCCTCTATCCGAGGTACTGGAAGCAACGCCGGTACCCCCGATCTCTCTCGGTCAGGCACATCCGACCTGAAGACGGAAAACGAGAATTACTTTGCTTCTCTTGGCCAACTTAATGCTAATCGGCCGCTGGACCTGCATCCATCCCAAGGAGGGAGGTACACCGGGTTTGGGAGTACCCCCGCACCTTCAGCGGGATCCTCCAATGCTTCGTATGGTCTATCAAGTCGTGCAGCACCATCTTTACAGGAGTTGCAACAAAATCCATTAGGGGCGTTGTCTAAGGGGTGGTCATTGTTCTCCAGCGCTGTCGTCGGCGCGTCGAAGACAATCAATGAAACGGTCATTCAGCCTGGTATGGAACGCGTTACTGACCCGGAGTTTCAAGGGAACGTTAAAGGAATCCTGGGAGAAGCGCAGAAACGTGCAGGACAGGCGGCTTCCGGTGCCAATGACTGGGGTCGAAAGCAATTTGGTGTGGATGTTGGCGAAAGAGTTGGTACGCTGGTCGGTGGAGTTGGCGGAAATCCTCGAAATCAAGGTTATGGACATGTAGGCTCCGGATACGGCGAGGAAGAGACATCGGGGCTGTATCATGATGACGATGCGGAGTACTGGGGTAGACATGATGGATGGGGTAGTGCCACGTCCGATCCCAACTCGGCCAGTGTACTTGCGGGACCGCCTAGTGCCACGAGCGATGCCCCAGCAAAGTCGCAGGCGAAGAAGAGCGATTGGGATGATGAGTGGAAGGATTTTTAAGTTATTGTTGATCATGCACATATGTACAGGTACATACAATGGATATCTCTATTTATCGTCAATGTCCTTTTTTTGTCCGTTGATTATATGGTCATGTATCAAGTTGAAGCAAGCATGAGCTTTGTACAATTTATAGATACAGCAGATTGTACTAAGCAAGAAGTAACAGAAGGATGAACGAATCAAAATAAGATTAAGCAGGTATCTTGTGAAAGATCAAAATGACGCGAATTATATATGTAGCAGTCGCAATAACATAAGAAACAACTCTCATGGCGGACCCACTAGTGCACTAATCGCTTTCCTCACTGTCGTCCTCATCGTCATCATCTCCACGTCGTCTACGTTTACCAGACGAATTCCCGTGTCGGTTGCGCAAAGGTAATTTCTGGCCTTGATTTCCAAAGGCTATGGACAAAGCGGTAGTATCTGTGGGAAAATTATGATCAGTAAGGAGAAGAAAGCTTCTAAAGTAACAGTAGAAACCTGGCACGCCCGGGAATCGTTTGGCACTGTAGACAGTAAACGGTTCACTATACACTTGGGCTAGAACTGGTGATACCCCAGGAAGTCCACGTTCATGCCCATCTCTATCGTCTATCGACATGACGCCTGTCGCGCCAACCTCCGGGGCAGGATATTTGCCCACATTCATTAGTCGCATCCGCAATCGAAAAGTGCCCTCTGTGCGAACAGACAGATCCTGGAATAGGAAAAAAACACCCGGTTTACGGTGTTCGTCGAGTAGCCGAGTCGCATTAGCCGATAGAGGTCCTACGAGAGTACGGGTGTATGTGTGACGTGGGAGAGGTATTGATGAGTATGAAGATGAAGCTGGAGCTGGAGTTGACGGTATAGATGGTACAGTTGGAGTGAAGTTCGTATGAGGATGCGAGAACGATGAACGTATAGCAATTGGCGGGACATGCCCCATGGAAGGAACTGAGGGCGGCGAGGAATAGATTGCGGGCGCTTGAGAGCTGGAATAATCGTAATTGAACGCCTGTTGGGAACCCCATGTGCTCGGTTCAGTATGAACTGGGTTGTTCCACGGTCTGTAGCCCATCTCACTGCTATTTTCGTTCTGGGACCAAGAAGGGTAACCCCACGTGGGTGGATTTGTTGGTGTGAAAGGCGGTTCTAAGCTTTGCGAGGGAGGTAGAGAGGACGTGGAATTTGTGTTTGAACTTGAACTTGAAGAGGCCGGAGGACCCATTGAGGATGTTGTGACGCCTTTCCGCCTCGACTTCGTTGTATTCGGAGTGGGCGGAGGTACATAGCGATCGGCCGAAGAGGGATGCAGCACGAGGTTCATCTCTTGCTTCCCATCGGCTGACCAAAGGTCGACAGTGACGACGAAGAAGGAGCAGTCTACATCACTGCATGGCGATGAGAAACCGCAAAAGGTGAGATAAGATAAAAACTAACTCGACCTCGACTAGACCATTATCGTCCCTTCTAACCACCATCTTTGCCACAGCTGCAGGAGCTAATGGGCGTCGATCTTTGTCTCCAAAACCACACATCCTGGCACGGAGAGGGTGTTGAACAATTTGCAGAGAATAATATCTGGGGAAATTATCAGTGATGGAATTCATCGCCTAATCAATTTCTTACTTTCGTCCAGACCATTGGCCCCATTCTTCAGGTCCATCGGTTGTAGAAGGTCCATGACGCTGACGGGCATTGGTTTGCTGAATCATTCGTTTGCTGACAGGAGCGGCCCAGATGAGAGTCAGAAAGAAAAAGAGCAACGACCCGAATCAATGGTACTGTCCCTCCAATCACAAAGGATTTGCTGTACAATTCAAGTACAATTTTAGAATCTTCAGTCCCGGCTTGTTAAGTCATTGTCTGGCTTTTTGTACAGAGAGTAGCTTGATGTTCCAAGAAAGCCTAGAGGATGGAACCCAGAATTCGTGTTCGTAAATGGTCGAGTCTATTCAGCCACGTGCCTTATTTATCCAGTATCGTACATACTTGTCCAAACTATTGTCTGGTACAGTAAATCATAACACTTGCTTATCAGACTAGGCTTAGACTCAACTTCGAATATTATTCCATAGGTAAGCTAGCTAGCTAGTAACTTCTTTTTCCGACCTCCTACATTATACAGCGATGTGTATGTCCGGGAACTTACTCGGTCTCAAAGAAAGGCAACAGCGAAGTAAGTCGTCGGTACTACTTTTGTCTTTCTGACTACGATCCGAATCATGCCGACTTGTGCTCGTGCTCAGGCCCGACGCTGATAATGGAACTGAGGAACCATATTTGAGGACCGCATTGATCAAATTGACGGCGGGTCCGGTTTCTCTCGTCCAGATTGTGATGGGCCATCATATAGAAATGCAACCCATTGACAGATAGCTAATCTCCATATTCGTACTTTCGACCAAAGGATCTGCCCAATCTCCGCCTTTCCTTGATCTCGAATTCCTGCAACAGCGAGTAAGTCCGTGGGTACTGGTCATACAATTGTCGGAACAGCTCCTTCGCCTCTGCCCTCGTCTCTTGATTGTCCTCCATGAAATCTTGAGAATGCGGTAGCTGGCCACGACGCGGCCCAACTGGGCGAGGTAAATACCCTTCACGGAGATCTTCGATAGCTCTAAGGAAGACTCGTTTGACGGCGATGTGAATCTTCCATACATTCCAGGCAGGAGATATCTGGTGGAGGACATGCATGGGATACGCAAGGTCGTCGGCATGCGCCTCCTCATCCTCTTCAAGCTGTGGCATTGCATGGCGTTTATTGCGGCGGATGGATGGCAGCCGCCACGACGCCCGCTTCTTGAGCTGGGCCTGCGATTCTATGAACGTGGTATTGAATTCTTCCTCATCCTTGTCAAGGTCTTCCAAGCTATACATCAGAGGGCTGTTGGGAGTACTGTTCCGTGAAGCGATGAGATCTCTTGCTTGATCTTGATAAGGTAGAATTACATGTTCAACAACCTGAAACGCACGTTCCAGTTGACCAGCACGGATGAGAGTCACAGCGAGATGGTTCCAATTGTGAGCGTCGAAAGAGAATCCGTGCTCCTGGAATGTCTTCCAGACGCGGGCAATTTCCTCATGCTCGCCCGCCGCAGACAGAGCGTCAATGTATATTGACAACGGAAGACAAAGTATATTGTTGAGGAGACGATTCGCGGATGGATCGTCCTTGCTCGTGTTGATGACAGGTGTTTCTTTGACATACTCGACCCCAAGAGCAAAGATTGCCGGCCACATTTCTTTGACGTTCTCAATCTGGTAAGTCCGCCTGTAAACGTCGAAAAGTGCTGAGAGGGTTCCCAACGTCTCAACTCCCCCCGCAGCAGAGTAGTCATTGTGGAGCCTTTCGACGTCCTCGGCCTTGTGCAGGGTTGTATAACCTTTAAGAAGAGGGCCGTACACAAGCTCGAGAGCCGAGGGCTTGCCGTAAGATGGCTTAGCCCAAGGTCTCTCCGGAATATTCATGAGCTCATTGATGAAGGCTTCGGCAATCCTCATTGCCTCTTCTGAACGTTGATTACCATACGAAGTCAGCATGACACTGAAAGTGACAGCGGAAGGCTGAATCTGGCGCGCCACCAGTTCGTCGTAGACAGCTTTCGCTTTCTGTCGCTTGCCAGCACGAAGGTATCCAGCCATAATAATAGTGAGGATGTACACGTCAATGTACAGGTTGGACGTCCAAGACTGTGCGAGTTTGTCCATTTCGCGGAAGATCTCCCAAGCGATTTCCATCTCGCCGGCATCACAAGCGGACTGAATCAATAGAGCAAAGGTATACGAATCTGGCTTGACATTCAGATCTTCCAGCTTGGAGAAGATCTTCGAAACTACAGGAAAGGGTGCACCGATAAGAACATATGCCTTGAGCAGCGTGGTGTAGAGCTCGATCGTCAGACGAATCCTGGGATGAGCATCAGAACGGATGTAGTCAAACACCCGGATGACACCCTTCCACGAACCAGCTATAACATGAGCATTCATCAACGTGTTGACCATTCGCCGGTTCGGGACAATTCCGCGTTCTTCGACGGCTTCCTTGTACAATAACTCGACGCCGGCGACGTCCCTCCGATGTGCTAACGTGGTCATCAGCAGCACGTATGTGACGGCTGTGGGGGGATAATCACTGTTTTTGACCTGGTCCAAAACAGCCCGGAGTGAAGCCATATCACCCGACCTGGCAAACGCTTGCATGATGCTATTGAATATTATGATGTTTGGTCTATGTCCGGCCTTGACCATTTCTTCTAACCAGTAATTAATTTCGCCGATTTGTCCTCCTATCGTACAGGCATAAATAGCGACTCCGAAATGTTGGATCCCAGGCTCATTTGCGCGGTGACCGTCTTCCTGAACAGGAAAGAAATCATTGAACATGATTCGTACTCTTTCCGCTTGGCCCTGGGTTCCATAGGCATGCATGAGCAGCCCAATATCCCGTTCATTGACAAACTTCTGTTGATGAAGCGAATTGTAATAGGATTCGGCACGGCGATGATCTCCGCAGTGTGCGAACAGGAAGAGAGCTGTCTGCAGGTAATGTTTGTACGTGGTTCCCCGAGGAATGGTGTTGAACAGATCCTTGGCAAGTCCCAATGTATCCTCTTTCACCAGAGCGCGAATCAATCGAAGTTGCGTGTCAAGAGGAATCGACACCTGCAGCTTCTTTAGTTCATTGAAAGTTTCTAGAGCGTGAAGAGGGAGCTGATCATGGCAATACGCGTCAATCAAAAGTTCGCCTATTCTCTTTGAGAGCTCGGGACCCCACTGTGTAAAGTTACTGGAGATGAGGACGGCAGGACGTGGGATACGGGAAAGTAGACGATGAATGGCTTTTCTAAACGACGCGCCGACGACCTGCGATGTTCCAATATGCCACTGACCAGATGACTTGAGAAGATACGAGCCTACAGACAGCCATTCTCTGGCCAGCATGGTTAGAACCTGAGATGCATCATAGTAGCGAAAGGTGTAGAAGACCAGGGTTTTGTAGCTCCATATGATTCGAACGTCCTGATTGTAGTCAAGTGTGATCTTTTGAGCGGCGTGAATATGGGAGAGACATTCGTCAACCTGACCCATCAGCGCGGCGGCGCGAGCCATAGAACACTTTGACCAGTAGTCGTACACCGACAGTGGAGCTATGCGCGAAGCCAGGTACGATAGCAGGGTTTTCACCCGCTCGCCCCAGGTGAACAACCGACTGAGCTCAACAGAAGACGAATTGTAATGCGCATCACCATAAACAAATATTTTATCGGTGAATACTAATAGTTGTTGAACGGTGAGTCGAGAAAGGGCATTTGCCTTCTCGATATTGACATACATAGACCAAATCTCACCCGGGTCGAGTGGGGGTCCAGGCTTGAGCGCTGAGATAAATTTCTGAATAGTCTGTTCAGCTTCGACAGCCACAGCTTCATCTAGGTTGCTTGTAGATGGAGGAGCTATTGATGAAAACGAGTCGTCCGACGAGGAACCTTCTGCTATTCGAGACAAATGTCGTGTCTGTAAGACGGTCTGTGCCAAGCGCTCGGATGCTCTGCCTGACGGTAGATGTCGGTGAAGAGACAGGGTCAATATCCTAGAAAGACCAGCACGCTTGTTGAGTCTTTGTCTGGATGAGGAAGCATTTCTTATGACTGATGACTGATTTCGTCCTATTGATTGTCAGTCGCGATATGACTGACAGCGCATGCAGACTCACTTGGGATAGACATAAAAGATCCTGGCTGCACAGACCATTCCCGGCATTGAGAAGACAAAATTGCAGGCTCATATTCGTCGTTTGATGACTGGGTACCTCTAGCCTTTCCCTTCACGCGTCTTGGCTGCGGATTGAAAAAATTCGACGTGAAAGGTCGAGAGGATGTGCTTTGCACTATTCTGACGACAGAATGAAGGGGAATAGAGCGTCCAAAATGAGAGCGGCCTGAGAGGACAGTGTTGAATATAACCGTAGCGACAGGTTCGAGCATGTAAAACTCGTCCTGAACTGACGAGTGTTTCTAAGGTATTAGAGTATGAGTCCTGCTCTATGAGTAAAGGTTGAGCATAAATACCAGTCAGTAACAAAAGACCTGCAATCCGTTTCTCGAGTCTCGACTTGTTAATAGGAATGTCATGGAATTCGGAAAATCGACTGAACACGTGCGAAGCGAAGTTGCCGGGAAATGCCGGTTGAGCCTAGGCCGCGGCAACTAAAATAATTTTAAATCCTGGTTAGACACAGTCATGTCCGAACGACCTGCTCATGAAATTGTGATTGCATCTAATGAAGCAGAAGTTCAACAGTGTTACAAAATTCGTATAGATGTCTTCGCTCACGAACAGGGTTTCCCTATCGAGACCGAAATAGATCAGTGAGTATCGATAACTGTACGTATGTCTACGTATGCTTCCTGCAGCTCTTGTAGCACTCAACCTTTGTGTTATCAGTTTAGATCCTATCGCAACCCATTTCTTAATGCGACTGACACCATCTCTCACACCTATCGGTGTCATCCGTGGTTCCAAGTCTAACGAAACAGGCTATTACAAGCTCTCTCGTCTCGCGGTTCTCAAGGACTATCGCCAATTCAAGTTTGGGCGCGAGCTTGTTGAAGCTTTCCATGAGTGGGTGCGAGTAGATGCTCAAAAGTCTGGTCAGGTAGATGGTTCGGTGAAAGTTGCTTGCCACTCTCAGATTCCCGTCAAAGGGTTTTACGCGAAGTAAGTCTTGTGTCCAGTTTCAGTGGTTTCGGAAGAGACAGCATGCGTATCTGCTCTGGTTTTTCCGTTGTCCAATTGCATCACTTCACGTACTGTACCTTTTACTTCATTTTGACTATCGTTTTGGTCTAGGTTTGGTTATATTCCAGAGGTGAGCTTGTGATCCCTCAATGAAATCTACAGAGATCTCGGGGTAACGGAAGCTTCTTGATAGGGCAAAGAGTTTGATGAAGAAGGTGATCCGCATCAGAAAATGGTCCTCGAGCTACCATTACAGTAAACGATGGATCTACAATATATACTAGATATTTCTGTATGTACATAGTCACTGAACAGATTTACGCTTCCTTGTCAATGAAGGAAGAAGTTATAGGGTAGAAGAAATGAGCGCTAGTAATACAAGCATAAGGTGGGGTGATGATACAAGTCTGTTGTATGTACTGAGTGTTCTATCAAGAAATAATAACATAAGTCAAAGAAGACATGGTAGTATAGTACGTACTAAAGGGGTAACATAGAGCAAGAAACAATTCGAAACCATGAACAAGATCAAGCTGCAGCATGCCACGTAACTGCCGCGGCTGCTACGGGATTCATAAAAGTCGTGAACGAACAAGGGGCCCAAAGGGATAGCATATTGAAGCAGAAGAGGTTTGAAAAATAAGAGCAATAGCAGAAGGAATAAATCGAAAAGAAGAGAGATTGTTACTCAGAACCGGTGAAAGCCATCTACAGCAGAGCCACTGTCGCTCTCACTCTCCGACTCTAGCTTGGCAGGTTGGTAGATGGGACTTCCTGGCAATATGCTGAAACTGATACTCGTTCCGTAGCCCGTAGTACCTTCCTCGTACAGCCTTCGCGCAGCCTCGTATTCCATCTTCTCTTGTTCAGCTTGAGCCAAGAACGGCTGTGGAAAGGTTTAAACACAAAAAAGATACGAGATAAATTACAATCACCTTGCGTTCATCATCGGTCATAGATCTCCACTTCGCCGCAGCAAGAACACTCTGTTTCGTCGTCTCTGTCTCATCACCGAACACTTTTTGGACAAGCTGAGGATTCGCGCGGATACGCTGAAGGAACATGAAGTAGGCGCTCAAAGGCTTCTTGGGAGCATTCGGGTCCTTGATGTTGCTCTTTCTTGACTTGCCGGCTTTCCGTTGCGCAGCACGGAACACGTTCTCGCGCTTGATATCATCTGGAGTAAGTGTTCGCATGTAAGCAGCGTGTTCACGCTCTCTAGCTTCCTTCATCGCCTGTGAACGAAGTTTATAGGGCTATTCCCATGAAAATACAATGTCAGCATCGCCTACGTCACATGCATACAGAGAAAAAAAACACAAGCTTACCTCCTTCTCTTCTGCACTTAGGGATGCATACTCTTGACCGGCTTCCTTGGCTGCTTGGGCCACGTTGAGCTTGCGCGTATTAGAAGCCTGTTGTCGTTGTATCCAGTCGGTAAAATACAATTGCCATGCCGATGGCGCCAACTTTGGAGGACGCAAAGCAGATTTAGTAGGAACTAGATAAAGTTCATCGTAGGACAAAAACAGTTAGTCTGGCGTCGACAACATCGTGAACGATCTGACATACCAGAATCATTCGGCTTGTCAGACTTCTCGTGTTCCTCGACAGACGTATTCGACACTTTCCTCCGTCGCCGGACAGTCGCGTCTCGGTCATCGCTCAGGCTGACGGACTCAGCTCGTCGACTTGCCATACTAGACGCAGAGCGCGACTGCGTCTGGAGATGGCTATGAGATGGCGCGCTTGCCGACTGAAATAATTGACTAGAGGTAATAGAAGCGCGTCGGGGCATCCTGATACGTTGTACACCGTCTGATGAGATCGGAGAATGGCGTACAGACGGGCGAGATGAAGCAGGAGTGCGGATTGATATTGAGCTCGGCGTAGCCGTGTTATCGAACAAAGATACCCATTCAGGTGTCTGAACTGCCGAGATATCAGCGGGAGAAATGGAAGTCATCGAGTCTACCCGTTGCCGAGGGAAAGCGTGGCTTTCTTCGTAGGACGACGATGGGGACATCGGAAGAGGTTGCAGAGCGGCAAATTCGCTGGGAGAAAGTCCATGGTCCTGCGGGAAGTGTGACCGCTCACCAAAAGTGAAGAAAGGCTCCAGATTTTGGGGGTCATTGGGTGAAATGGGTATGGGAGCGACGGGTGATGGAATGGGAATCAATTCTGGTTCATGAATCCAACTTCCAAATAGATTGTTATCGAAAGATGTGGAGTCTTCATGAGTCAAATAGGCAGATGGATCATAGAAGCTGTCAGTTGGTGAAGCTTGAGAAAGATAATCGTAGTTGGACGACAATGGAGAAGGTCCCGCAGTATAATAGGCGGGCTTGATATCAGAATCCGTGTCATTCTTCAAGTCCCACGAAAATGGTCCTGATGACGCGTCGTGAGTAAAGGACACGTCCTCCATGTCGAAGAGCAATTGGTCGTCGGAAGGCATAAAACGATGAGGATCGTCAAAGTTCAGCAAGGACGGTGATAAGTCTGGCATGTAGCCGATCTTGAACTCTGGAGACATCTGGCGTCGGGAAATGGCGGAAGGCATAAGGGAGTGGTTAAAGGAAAAGTGACGCCCAATTGGGGCCTTATATAGAGGCGGAGAGATAGACCGGAGAGAAAGTAGAGTAAGGAGGGAAGGATTCAAGCTGACGAGTTTATGAAGGTTCCGAAGCGGCATTCTGCTGAGAAATATTTCCATATGCATACCGATATGATACTGACTCGACCTGAATCTGCGTCACAGGTTAAGGAAACCCAAGATTCCAAGATTCCCCCCGAGCCGTCAGACGAGAAAGGAGGTCAATTGGTTCTTTGATACCTGATCTGTATATGGAAGGCAAAATTTAGTCTCGAAGAAATTGTACAAATTGATGCGGCGTGACAGAGCATATGTCGGTCCACAGGTTTTAAAATAGTGTTTGGGTCCCAAACGTAACTTTGAGGCAGTTCCGGAAGCGCTCTATCGATATATGGGTATGCTTTTTTGACAGATGTGGTAGGTACAAGAGTAGTAATGAATTGAATTTTCCACCAGATACCTTTCTACCGCTTTAGGCAGCTACTTCCCAACCAGATGGTTCTTGCGGCACTGTTCCTAAATCCGGTCCTCAACAGCCGCGGAAACTCACTCTTGCAAATCTTCATTGTCCACAGCTCATTTGGTGGTGGGGTAGGACTTTCATTGTTCGTTATGGTAATGGAAGTTTGGTAAAATAGAAGAAATTTCTACTACAGAACGACAAACTGGGGCGAAGCATACTTTGGGTTGTTGTAGATACTCTTACCCGCCTGATCAGACAGAAACGAAAGATGGAAGGTTTTCATTCTGACAACATAACAACATTGTGGAGTCAAACTTACCTCCCAGCCTTTGACGTCCTTCATAATCTCCTTCTCCCTCGCTAGCGCAGCTTGTTGACGTCTATAGGCATCGCGGTCGCCCTCTGCCATGAGAAGTGGAACTAGATGAATACGAGACCATGCTTTTTCACGCTGAAGCTCTCTGTGAATTGCGCAGATATCCAGATTAGCACAGGCTTCTTTAGAAAGTACGGACCGAATGAGCCCCAAAAATGACTGATAAGCAGATGGAAAGGGCGGACGGATCCAGATGAGAACACGTTTATCGACGAGCGGCGTACAGTCGAACACGTTCCTCAACCAGCTGACCAAACAGAAATCCATCGGAAGAATCACGAACATACCGCTTTTCCAAGGCTCCCTGGCCGTATCTATAGAAGCCAAATGCAGAAATAGCTGCAACTCCGCCGAGGATTGCAAGTGCACCGGGACCACGGAAAGGAAGATTCCTCTTATATTTGACTGCCTCAAAACCTCCAGGAGGAGGCATATCTCTGAAGGAGAGATGCTTCATTAGGAAAACTTTGTGAAAACATGATAGAGTTGGTTTGGTCCATACTGCCTATAAGGAGCGGCCACTTTAAATAAACTTTATCAGCTGCAACGACAATATAACCAATGGAAAGAACATACTTGTCAACAGAGTCTTGAAGTTGAAGTGGTGGTGGTCACTGTTCAAAACAAAAAAGTTGTGTATAACAACCACGTGAGTGATCGAGGTCGATCAAATTTATCGGAAATTGGCTGAAAAGGAACAGGAAAACGAGTATACAAAAACTGCAACGCTGGCAATGGCCGTTACAATGTAAAATACACAATTCACAGATGAGAAGCAGGTAGCGTTATGTTATATTGTACACCGTGTATCGTGTACAACGCATGTACAAGAACCCCAAGCTTGTCATTCTGGAGGTTAACGAAATATACAACCCCTTCATCAACTTAGCCTAATTTAGATATGTCATCAGGCCTGCCAATTCTTTTCGTTCTCATACCAGAACTTCCACCATGGCGTCTCCAGGGCCCTCTAATTTGCAGTCTATATCTGCCATGTCTTCCCGCACAAAGTCAAAACCTCCTGCTCATTCTATGGGTATCACTGCCGGGGCTGAAGATGTTAAGTATCAAGCCAAGTACAAGGAACTAAAAAGAAAAGTAAAGGAAATCGAAGGCGTAAGTCGTGGCTTTTTTTTCTCGAAAAATTCAAATGTACAACAGTTTGCAAAAGGACAACGATAAGTTACACTTCAAAGTTTTGACTGCAAAACGCAACATCCAGCGAATGAAACTTGAAAGAGCGTCAGTGTTTCGTATCTTTTGCTTTGACCGCGTCGCCTGACATATTTTTTTTTCTTAGAATTCTCTATGAACGCCTGGCTCAAATTTCTCCTTCGCCAGTTCCTAACGACCAACCCTCTATATCCGCTCCTCATCCTGCTGCTGTTGTACACCATTCGCCCATAATCCAACCTGTGCCTAATCGTCACCGTGTCGATGTCGGAGATCTCGTAGGCATAGACTTTGATGCAAACTTCGTTGAGTATTCTCAGCCACACTCGAGGATCAATCCCGGTCGACCTTTGCCTGCTATCGATACAACTATAGCACCTAGTGCGCATCATCACATACCACCACCTTCGTCGCGTCACGGTTCAGGTTCAGGTTCTGATAGCCGCCAGCTTCCACCTTTTACCCAGTTTCTCGACCAGCCCCGAAGCCCTCGTTCCCATCCTCATTCTGACAGTCACCAACGTACACGCTCTCAGTCCTCTTCCTCCCGCTCTCACAACCTTCCTCTGCAACAAGCTCCCTATCATATTGGTAATGCCCAAGGGCACCAATATGCCGACAGTCTTCCTCCAATGCAACATGCTCTACACAGTCCACCGCTCTTGGACCGTGAGCGTGAAGGTTCACGTTCTAGACGTCACGATCTGCATGAGCTAGCTGGGACGCATGATGCCCATGCACATTCGATGCCTCCACTTTCGCCCTCTGTAGACAGTCGCTCTTCAGCACGTATTCACAACCATCAACGTTTAGGTCCAGGCACGTATATAAACCGTGACGATCCACGTTCCCATGAAATGGACCGCGAGCGAGACTGGGAGCAGGAACGCGACATTCGGGACCGCGAACTAAACTATAGCAACGCCAGACAACGCGAACGAGATCCTGTTGTGAGCAGTATGCGTTCGCCACCCCCTGTGCACCGTCGAGCACCTTCAGCAATGGATTATCATGATCAACACATCCCTTCTTCGCGAGCGCGCGAAGAATACTATCATGAAAATTCTCTTGGATCTGGTGGCCCAAGTGGAGGTGGTAGTGGCGGCATTTACGCCCGAGTTTCACGCTCCGGTACACCAGGTTCAGGTTCAGGTTCAAACTCTGCAGGTGCTAATGAGGGACCATCTCGCCCCGACTCTCGAAGTAGTTATTTCGAAGATCGTTCAAGAGGCTATAGATTCCGCCATGTTAATGCCGGGCTTCCGACAAACGAGGAGCCAACTCTAGATTTCGTACATGAAGACGGTAGATCGCAATCCCGTGATCGTAGTAATGCCACTGGTGTAGGCTTTCCACTTCAACATCGCGAGACAGTAGATGCCGTTGGAAGAATGGATTTGCGCCGGGATCGAGAAAACAAGGATGCCAAAAGGAAGATTCGTGGGGACATGGATGTTGATACGGAGAATGGCTCTACCGGTGTTATGTCCTCCTACCCCGGTGGGATATCTGACGAGCGAGGAGGGAAGCGATATCATCGTGATGATAACATAGAAGATGTCCGAATGGGCCCATGAAGGTGATCCGGTGTATTTTTCCAGCATGGACAAAATATTCCCTGTTGCGATCGCCTTTCCAGCCCACGCTCATCATGTTGTACTTTCCAACTCAAAAACTCAATTGCGCGCGTTCCGAATATCTTGTATTATTCCTGTCATTTGCCCCTGTCGTCAATGTAATCCTCATTTGCTTTCGTCATATCTAACAAAACTTTGTGGCTATATCGTGCGCCACCTGTGTTCTAGACGCCAAATTATATCTGTACCAGTCTACTGATTGGCCCTATCCTTATCCGGCATTGGGACTTATTCTCGCCAATCTTATGGAATTTAGGCTCGCCACCACAGCCTAGCCCTCTGTATTCTCATGAGACCCGTTAGTGGCGGAGGTGCCCCGACCACCAATGTTCAAAAGCTTCGTGGCACCGTTTGGCTTTCCGAAAGACAAGGAATTTTCTAAATCGAGTGATATATAGCATTTTCAATTCAGGGGCTACACACCGCACTACATATGTTCAAGAACTACCATCGACAAAATATCGATTTACTGCATATATTGCGGCACCGGAGAAGTCCCCGCACCCTCCGAAAAAGGGAGCGAGTAAGAGACAATCTCTGCGACATGATCCTTCAACGTCAACGCTCTAAAGTTTCAAGCTTCAATGCCTTCATTGCCCATTCAGGCCCTCTGACCAGGTCGAAGTAGAACGCTCGAATGAATCCGGGTGCCGTGTAAATTTTCCTGATTGGGGAACGTTCTTTCCGAGCACGATCTGCTCCCAAGAAGAGTTTAGACCCGTCACTTCGGAAGTTAGGGACGACAATGTTTCGGAATTGACGGTATGGGGGTATTCATAGTGCTGAGAGTAGCGCGGTTGTGTTTGCGAAGATACGAACGTAAAACCCAGATCTGAATGCAGGGAGAGGCGCCTGCTGCGATCCGCAATTTCCAGTACGACCTCTTCGGTGAAATCTATGGAGGGTGACTTCGCATCGAGGTAAACATCCATGATGGATGGTATCCGGGTCAAGGAAATCTCTCCTGCGGAATTTTCCCTCCCTTCGTCAACCGAGACCATTGATATCTGACAATTTTTTATGTGCCGTGACAGAATACGCATGTGACGAGCAGTAGTGTCTGTAGATAAATGGGTAGGGAGTATCGATCTTTTACGATGTCTACACGACGGAGGTTCTATCGTGGAGCGGTATGTTTGGTTTCGTAGACGGTCAAGCGTGTGAATGGTACCATCTAAATGCCAAGTATTGGATCGAATTCCAGCACTCGGCAGTAACGTGTCCATCGCAGCACTTTTGCGTGGCCCTTGATGCGATACTTTTTTTATCTGAAATGAAGTTGGTGAAGTGCCCAGACGCCGGCGTGAAGGAGGGGATGACAGAATTTTGGATTCTGTATCACTGGATAAGACCGAATGCAGTGGGTGAGCAGTGAACAAACGAAGCAAATGAAAAGCGTTATACCTATCGACAGCATCCAGCTTGCGCTTCTGGGGCGGCGTTGATAACGCCTCCCTATCGAAGGAAATCATTTAGAGAAAAATGGCAATGTCAAGCAGATCTAGCGTGGGTTCATCCTGTCCGCGGGCAATTATTCTTATGGGCCCGAGGTGTCTGAGTAAATGTGAGACGGGGAGCATTAGATGAGACCAAAAGCTGTCTGGGTATCCAAAAGTTTAGGCCCTAGATGCACAGCATAGTCTCGAAAATCACTGTGCCAAAGTTATGGAAACCCCTGTGCTGATCATCAGCCAAAGTTTGATGAATGAATCAGTACGGGACCCACAGTCCATTTAACTTTCTTCCTGTTAGAGGACGGAAACGAAACATTTTCTGATTAAAGGATTGACGAGTCAAAATTCAATATTCAAAACTTAGTAGAGGGAAGAAATTACAGTGGGACAAAAGTTTCAATGGCATATGCGACACCGAGCGCTGACGCGCAAGAGCTCCTGTCGAGCAATTGCTTCGCATTTGAACCAAAATCAAAAAGACATCGTCGCAGAACAGGTGGTCAACTGAATACAAAACGACTAGTCATTTACTCAGCCTGAACAAGAAAACAAGAAAGGCAATGCGAAAGAAGGGCTCGATTCAATACCGCAAAATTTAAATTCCAAGCTGCCGTCCAATGCCTGTACAGCAGCTGGCCGTGAAAGAACGTGTTTCGTCCTGCGGATGACAAACGCACAACCGTTCGAAGCAGACAAGCAGATAAGTACAAAAGAGGAAACGAGGGGCTCAAGCCTGGAATTAAACTTATGCTGACAATTGAATCAACGAACGAAATCCGATGGTGCTCATTGTCTACCTGTGCCACACCTGAGCTCTGGGCAGTTGAACGAGTATTTGTGACGACTGAGACTCAGTCCCGGGAAGTCTAGAAGAAGCAATTAGAACCAGCAGGAGCAGAAGCCAGGGCTATTGAACCTGACATTGAAGGCGCTGCAATGACCCTAAATGGATGCAGTAATAAAAATCAACAAATCTAGAAGGATGATGAACAAAAGAGGCAGATATACTAGTAATGGAACACCACGGCGCCAGCCGATTCCGCGGAAAGGTCAAGTCAAGTTCTTTACTTGAACACTAACCAGGTTGAAGAGAAGAACTGTCGATCTCGGATTACAATCAAGAATGGATTGTCTCCCTTACATAGGTTGCCAGCGGTGATGTATTTGCCCGCCCAGCGTCGTGTCAAGACCTCGAAAAATATTAGTGACCTAGAATAATCACCGCGGGGCGATGAGAGCACACAGTAGAGCTGCGAGAGCTTTATTCGCCACGCAGTTGAACGGAACTGCGAGTAAAAAGAAAGAAAGGCAAAAAAAATCAACACAAGATTGTGACTTCGTCAATTCAATCAATCCATATGCTGTTACGCCTCCATCATATGGGGTATAACCTCCAAATCAAGGTTTACATCTGAGAGGAAAGAATAACAGCCCACTACCTATCGGTATACGAAAACGAACAAGTATATTCGCTCGAGTCAATGATTGACAGGAGCTGTCCAGGGCGACTCATACGCTCTCACAGTACATCAACGATTGCACACGAATAGCATCCAAACCTGGACCGCCGCCAATGGAATGCGTGAGTAAATGGATAGTTCAACAATAGAAATATTGATACATAGCATCCAGCGCTCGCCACACATCCAATGGACATCGCGGTTCACAAGGTGCAGCACATGAATAAACGTGTTTCATTAATCAAAAAGATAATCGGACGTCGATCGTCATCGATGTATCACAACGGAGACGCTGGAGATGAAAGGGACGAGAGAGGATAACGGAAACAGAAATGAATGAGACAAAATGAAATGTGCTCACAGCTGTTTCCCAAGGGTTGATATCGTTTGCGGGAAGAGGTCACGATAGACGAATGCCTAGTACCTAGTAAGGCTTATGCTGGTCAATGATCTACTTTGATAGTGAAACATTCATACCTTAACAAGTCTTACGACCAGACCAGAATTTGTTGGAGATAAAGCGCCGGTGACCCCCACGATTTGGAAGTCTGTGCTGAGACTGAAAGGTAAGAAAGGAAATCTCAATACAGTTCTACACAGAAATGCCACGAATTTCACACTCCGTTGAGAACATATTATGGCGGTCCCATGGAATGATAATATGGAAGTGAAGAAATGAAAAGGTCGCGAAATGACTTCCCTCAAATTAACTCGCGGGGTTTCTGATGTGGTGGGAGATTCATCGAAAAGGCCATCACGATCTTCCGCTCTTCAAAGACGAAAAACCAGGCCCACATGGTCATGGATGTGGGACACAGCTCGTAGGCTATTAAGATATTAAAGTCACTCGTGGAAACAACACAAGAAACAAATGGTCATTACCTGCAATGATGGCCACCTGGATAAGGTGAATGGGGTAGCTCTGAAACACGTACATATAATGCTTGAATGAGTTGTAGAAGAAAAAAAGAATGCTGGGCAACGACAGTCCCTCCTTTTCCCATGCGAGTCACCGAATTGCATGAGATCTCATCGAAATAAAATGAAACTGGACCACCGAATCCGAATCCCAGGGTCATCTTGCGTCTGTATTGATAATTGTCCGAAGAGCCGATTGAAAGATGTTTCCACATATTGACTGAGCGAAGAAAGTAACTGTTTGAATTCTCATTCCACGTCTCATCTCTACGGTACACACTTTACTCGAGGCATCCAGTCTGCGTTGCCTAACTCAGCTTTTCACCGGTAAACATGGTCAGCTTTGAAAGATAAGTCAGTATCCTCGTCGGTGCTTACGCCACTGGCAAAATCGCAAAAGAGAAGTTGCGTACCATGCAAATTCGCAGCAATCTCCGCCTCGGCTCGGTCACCATTTGCTAGCAGCTTCTCCTTGTTGTACAACAACTCTTCACGGGTCTCGGTGGAGAATTCCTGATTTTGAGCTAAACCCAGCCATTAGAGAGTGAGTACCTTGGATAAAGGGAAAGTAGAAAGTGAGAATAGATGAATGAAGGACGCACTCTCGACGATAGCATCAACTGGGCATGCCTCCTGACAGAAACCACAGTATATACACTTGGTCATGTCGATATCTGTGGTAGCCAGAACATTAAACCGGCAAAATGTTGACGATTTCGCGAAGTCACGGACCATATTTCGTTGTTCTCCTAGAACCGTCTAAGCGAGTTTCACTTTCAATGGTGATAGCCTGGGCAGGGCAAATCGCTTCGCATAATTTGCAGGCTGGACAAACAAGTTGAGCATGAAGTACGAGACTCAAAGTACAGAGGATAATGCACCAATGCAACGTTCTTCGCCGCTTGGGTATCTCCTGAGGGCATGTTCTCCTCTGAAACGAGGCGAAAGAGGACCCTTTTCGAAAGGATACATGATGGTGTAAGGTGGACGGAAGAAGTTTTCCATAACGATCCACATGCCTGGGGACAACCGGTGCAGCGTCAGTATTCGACTACGGTCGACTTGAATGTGTTACCACGCACCCCGCATGATTTCAGTCAAGAAGAAAAGATGGACGGCCTTGTCGATGGCTCTCTCGCCAGTTTTGAACTTTTTGACATTCACATTAGAGTTGAGGTCAGAGTACAGCGGTGTTTCTGGGTATCGGCCATGTAGAAGCTTCATGTCACTGTGTAAGCTCTCCGTGTGTTGCTCGTGGCCATGATCATGATGGCTGGGATCGTGCTGAGAAGCACTCGAGCATCGGGAAGAATGTAGAAGTCGACGCTGAGCGACGGCAGACCGGATGACGGTAGAGGTGAGAGAGGAGCCAGAAGCGGAGACAAGGCAAAATCTGGGAGATAAGCCGACCCGCATAGCCTGGCGGGCAAAAGACATTGGTAGGTGTTCACTGGATGTAAGTAGAGCGAATTCTCGGGAGTAGATTCGGAACAAAGTGTGACGTCGTGTGATTGTGTGACTTTCAGCCAATCGAAGGCCGAGTTTTACCACTTAGTATTACTTCAGCGCGTTTCTCCTCTTCAACGACCATGGCCTCTTCCAAGAAGAAACTTACACCTCTTTCAGATCAGGGTAAATTTTCTTTTATGCCATTTCTTCCTCATTCCTCCCTTACTGAAAACAAGCAAGAAATCCAATCAAAATACGGTCAGTTTCAATCTGACTTGCAGGCTGTAGCAAGCAAAATTGGAGAGTTAGAGTCAGAAGCCGATGAACACAGGTGAGCGTGATCTGAGCTTGTATATAAAATATCTACTTATATCTTTCATAGTCTAGTCCTCACTACCCTCGATGAGGCTTTGCAAGACGATCCAGACCGTAAATGCTTTCGTCTAATCGGTGGAGTTCTGGTCGAGCGCACAGTCAAGGACGTCGTTCCAGCACTACACACAAATCGGGATGGGGTGCGTCCCTCTTCATCCTCTTGACACTTCTTAATAGTCTGACTATGCCCAGATACGGACAGCGGTTAAAGGTTTAGCGGATCAGTATACGAGTAAAGAAAAAGAATTCGAAACTTTCAAAGAAGATTATAAAATCCGAGTTGTTGGTAGAGTGTAGTCATGAATTTCCTTCTCCACCGGTATTACTCAAATCGCGAATCATTGGGACTCATATCAACCGGTACTGGTGGGGAAGAACCGTACGGGTTGGTCTAGAGCGACATCCGTTCAGAATCTTATGAACCCACGCATATTTTTGGTTTTAATTGCATATGCACATTGATCATCGGTGAGCTAGGAGTCATTGCTAACGGATTTCGGTGCTAATATGTCGTGTAATAGTGCCTCATCTCTTTCACGATGTTGCTCGAGCTTTATTATATGAACTCAAACCATGATCCAATTATACCTTTAGACGGGGAGAGAGAATGCTGATATGTCGCAAGAATTATTCAGTTTGAGTCCCAGAGGTAAAATATTCTTCCTATGCATGCCATGTTGCCTTGGCTTGTTCTCTGCTATTGATTTTCACAATTTTCACTACCAGAAATCCTGTTTTACTTCGGCGGTCCACTTCTGATCTCACACAGGAAACAATGCAAATTCTGCTTCCAAGGAATCCCCATTCTTAGTTCATGTTAAAGTGCCAATCACGAGCCTTGATCTTTCACTGTGGCGACTATTCTTTCAGGCCGGAAACAAATTTGATATCACCCACCAGGATGCTCAAAATTAAAATTGTGGGATTTGGAACTTGAGTCTGGTGTGGAACTTCAGCCTCCTCGATATTCGAACATAAATACCTAAGTTTTATGTACGATGAACACCTTGGATATGAACCGGCGCTGCTTTACTGGCAGATGTATAGAATAGTTGAACGATTCGCCTTGAATCACCACTCTTTTCTTCGCTCCTGTCGGATCCTTGTACCCTGGTACCCTCGCGCGCAATCCTTCGTAGGATTTCGTAAATCCTGATCAGGTAAACGTGCTTGGAAAAACGCACTTTGCAGACAACGAAACATGGGTATAATTCTTTGCAGGTGTAGCTCTGATCCTGAACTTGAGTGTGCGTGTAATGATGAGGTACCCAGCTACTATTCCGGTCTGAGTCGGTTAGTACAGACTCACAAGTCCCAAAGACATAAGCTTACTTCTCCTTCCACTACTTCATGATTATCGTCTTTCTCTTCTTTGTTGCTGTCCGGCACCTCAAAACATTCTTTCCACTCTACTTCCGTCTTATTCGTACCAAAAGTCTGCTCAAGATTCTTCGTGAATTCTTCCAAAGGTACTGGCCCAGTGTGGTTCAGGTAGATTTGAGCGGTAGGTGTGAACATGGACTGAATTCTGGATTGAGTTGTGTTTGTGTCAGAAGTGTCGGGACTTGGATGTTCATATAATCCGCTGAATCGCGACTGCACCCATTCTGTCAGTGATTGCTGAGGTGATGAAGGTGCGCTGGTGTGTTCGTTCAACATGGTGGTGGTCAGAATCAAAGAAAGAATCAGGAGCAACGAGCTGAGAAAGCACATTTCGTATCCTGACGTAATTTATTCTTCGTTTGGTCCATCTTCTAGCATTTTGTTGTCCAGCTTCACTCGATTTTGGACTTGATTGAGGGAAAGCAATGGGACAGCACGAACTCGAAACTGCACCGAATTCTGTTCTCAACGAATAAGCGCCCGAATTTGGACTCAAGTATGTGACCCTAACCCTATTGCATCTCAGAAATTTCCATATCCAGGCACTATGAACTACACCTCATTATCTCTTCATCCATTATTCCCTCTTACGGATATTTTTGCTCGATTGTCTACTAGCGTAACTATGTGGGCTCTCGTCGTCAAGCTGTTGTCAAGCAGGAAGTTGGAACGCAAGAGAAATTGCCTTTTCAAGTAATTTTCCGTCACTGGCGAAGCAACGATTTAGTTTTTGGCGGGCCACCAATCATCGAGATGTCTGGTATATAACCATGGCAGCTTAGGGAGTGATATTTATCATCACCGCTCTCTCGTCTAGAAATCGAGCTGAATAGTACATCTACTTCTCCCTACGTCAGACAACAATTTAACAGAATGTCTTTCTTTACCACATCCATTTCAACCACTACCGACAGCTCCTACTCCTCATTCTCAGCTACACCAAGCTTTGGCCTCTTCCCCCAATTCCCATGCACCCAGTCTCCCCGAGAAATACACGAGACATACGAGCAGCTCGGGTCCTCATTTGGCTTCAGTCGCAGTACCAATGGTACCAGCGCAAGCGGGGTTCTCCGTTCTAACGGCGAGAAGTGCTTCAAGGCTGCTCTAGGCTTGAAGAAGCTCTGGAAAGGACTCTGAACTCCTATAGTTCGAACGCACGTCGAGCTATAGAGATCTTAGTGATCTCTTCTTGACCATCATCGATTCATCCGTCTTATTAGACATCCCATATATTCGATCTACGCATCTGGATTTCGGGTGGGCCAGCCCTTTGAGGGCAATTTGTGCCACATTCCTCCATGCTCGTCGACATTACTTTGATCTTCGCGCTCCAACACACATGGAGCGACTCCGATCATTACTCTTCGAGTCTCCAGCGGTCATCTGGCGGCTCTATGCCAACAACCTTCTCTACGAGCCAATGTCGTCGATATGATGCTTGGCATTAACATTACTAGTGTGGACGTGGGGAATTTTGGCAACCTCTCGAAGCAGTGATTGAAGCAGGGCCAGGAAGGCTAGGACTGGTATCGTACTTATGAAGGTACTGGTAGTTTAAAAATATACGCAGCGGCACGTATTTGGGTCCTTCACAATCATTATATACAATTTGTCCTTTTCAACATTTGGTGCCGTCTGAGAATCCGCAAACTCGCAACGGTACTCACATTGGTGTCGGGAGTCTCACCATAGTAATGGGATGAAGTAGGCGTGAAGGAAGTAGGTCAGAAACTTAAAATTGTATGCGCTGAACATGCGAAAACCTGAGCTCCGTCAAGTAGAATCATAATGCGCTAGGCTCCAAGATCACTGTACTATGCATGATCTGGGTAAATTTAACAGAGCTTCTGAAATCTCCAGAACGTCAGGTGTTCCCAGAGTATCTTTCTACTCCCTCAATGAGAATTCTTTCTTGCCCTCTTTCGATTCCTGCTAGCCCTCCTGCTCCACCTGCCATAGCCTCGTTCTCTTTTCCTTCTGTTCAGTCTCATTCATCCAGCATCGCATTGGATTCAACCTACGTGTTTTAATGTTGAAACGTTCAAAGGGGAGGCTTACTTAGATGAGGCTATCATCGTCGTATCGACATCGCTCTTCGCATCTCACGATTTTATCCGAATCTGACCTGTATTTACTTCATCGACGCGGCTACATCCGACGCCGACAATCTCTTCAAGAGGTACCAAGACGTCGTATACATGGATCTTCGTAAAATCCCGCCACCAGAAGGAAGAGAAAAGACTCGGTCAGATGTGTCAGATGCATGTAGAGCGTTCAACAAGCTCCAGCAAACTGGAAGCCTACCAGGTATACTGGCAAGCAACACCAAAAGCTGGACCCACTAGGACCGACGAGTAAACACGCAAGGATCTTTGAGAAGGTAAAGGTATGTGCAAGCGAACGACGGTCGTGGTACCAGAGTGAGTATGAATGTATAGTACAGCAATATATGCCCTAGATGAGACTCGTGATGTATAGAGATGGTAACGGTAAGAAGCACGTGGTCGTGCTTTCACGACGCGCTTATGTACACTATCCGAAATCTGAGCCCTCTCATATTCGTTGGCAAAAAACGCGTGAACAATTTATTCGAAGAACTTCAAAGGTACATGTACAAAATTCAGGCACAATACCATTTCGGAATCGGCGTTGGCAACATGGCGACGACGATGGATAGGTCATGATGATCAAGCATGAGGCAAAGCTTAAAAAAACCTCAACTTATGTATATATTCCCATCTCTTCTCTTTACTCCCATCTTCTTCCACCACCTTCCTTTTGTTCTGTCGCTCTCTGTCTGTCTCTTGCTGCTTGTCCGCTCTCTCAACATTACCGCAAAGCCCAGCTTGAATCTTCCACTCATTTATCACCAAGGATACACACGACGACGATGGCTTTTATCGTATCTTTAATCGCTACCGCAAATATTCTTAGGATTCTCAGCACCTTCTTCCTCGTCCACGCTGTTCCCATCGGTCTCGGTCTTGGTAACAGTCTCTCCTCTAGGGACGACTCGTACTTGGACATTACCCAATACCTTGCCGCGCACAACACTATCCGCGCTGTACACGACGCCCCCTTGCTGATCTGGTCAGACGATCTCGCTATAGGTGCACAAGCTTGGGCCAACGCGTGTAATTTTAAACACTCGGATGGGGTTCTCAGTGAGTTACCGTATGGGGAGAATATGGCTGCTGCTACAGGGGATTTTGGTATCAATGCGGCGGTGGAGTCGTTTATGAGTGACGAAGGTGATTTTTTATATGCTCCTTATCAGTAGTATACATATTATTTCTTTTGAAAATACACTAATTATAATCATATGCATTTTACAGATTCATATGATCCTTCTTCCCCGACGTTCAGCGATTTTACCCAGATCGTATGGAAGAACACCACCACTGTGGGATGCGCGTATAATACCCAGTGCGGGAATATATTCCCTAGTTCCTCGTCAATGGCTACGCTGCATGTATGCTTGTACAATCCGCCCGGAAACGTCGTTGAGGAAGCTGAGTACGTGTCAGTTTTTCTAAACGTTTCCCATGCCTTGATTATGCTTCATTCTTCCGTATTTCTACTACTCCCTTCTTTTCTCGTCTTTCTACGACCTTCAAAATTTGAAATTTTCTGTCGAGCCTCATGCGCCAACCTACATTGACCTGACAACCACCTTTCCGTTTGTAGCGAAAACGTCCAAGTTTAAATTTGCTTAAATATCTCGGGATATCTCGGACCAACTTCGGTCTCTCAGCCTTGTCTCCCAGAGCTTGTCTCTACTGCATTATTTCACCCGTTCATATTTCATTTTGATCCGTTCACTCCTTCACTCATTCCATTCATTCAATTCCTCCCTCTTTCCTCCGATCAATCTGGGCTTCTTCTTCCCTTGTTACAGGTACCATTCCGTATCCCTCTCCCCCCTTCTCCCTCCTTTTCTTGTTGCCCTCGTCCCTCGTCCCTCTTCACCATTCTTTATATGTTCTCCATTCCTATCTCCTCCTACCTCCAAATCCCCTGCGTTAGTGTACCTTACCGCGTTCGCTCAGGCCTAGAGCCCAAGCAATCACTCTTCACATTCAGCTCGAAATCACCCGTGTTCAGTGTTCATCGGTCGCTTTCTTGCTCTAGGCCTCCGCTCGATGCATGGGGTCACTTATTTTACTGTAAATGCTGGCCGCCGCTGTACCACTCACTACCTGGCCACCACAGTGAATCCATTTTCTGTAGCATTGGAACCATGTGGTGGATCTACTCTCCCATTGACTTTTCATGTCACATTTTGAATGTGACATTCCTAGACCGTAAACTACTACCGAGCACTTTTTTTCGCCTATACTTTGCTAGTAGTGGCCCCTGGTTGTTACTTCCCTTGATCTTATCTGTTACTTGCTATCTGTCATCTATCTTTGCTTTCATCGAGTTCTTATCTTGCATTTAGTGTTGTTGACGTTCGCTGTAAACGTTAATGTAAATTGAATATTCGAATTGACAATTGTAGGTCGTTCTCAATTGCACTTCTCTTCGAAGATGTTCAAGGCGGCTGTGTCGTCTGATAAAAAATAGGGGGAGTTGAAACTTACTCAGATTTGATTGGTACTTACTTAAGCTCCTACTTCGACTTCGCCGTTCGCCACTTATCTTCAATGGCACAATACCTCACCAATGTCCCCATTCAAGGACAAATATCTCTTGATCCACAGAGCATTCTCTTCCTCTGCAATCAGCTCGCGGAGACAAAGACAGAGGTAAATCTCTCGGACAAAGAACTTTCAAAGAAGCTCAGGCCCGCTTATGCTGCTCCATTCTCCAAATTCGAGCATCAGAACGATGCGAAGCTCGTCGCAATCGCTTTACTAAAAAACGTCTTGTCTCCTGTCCGTCGAGTACCTCCGGAAATCCTCTCTGAAATCTTCGAATGGTATTGTTTTTCCGAGAAGAAGGATGTCACCGGATGGCGCCACGATATCGTTGCGTGCTATGTTCCTACTCTGGTCAGAGTTTGTGTAGTTTGGCGAAACACGGCTCATGGCACTCCTCGAATATGGTCTAAATTTTGCCTCGATTCTATCAGGCATCACAGAGTGTTTGAACATGCTTCGCATGGCTGTTGGATCGGGGGTTGGCTTTCTCGAAGTCGAGGGGTTCCTTTGGACATATCCCTCAACTTCCGCGACCACAGTTTCTCATTGGAGAAAATTTTGACCTTCCACCGCAAGATACGCTCGCTCAGTATAGGGGGGTATTTGGGAACATGGGAAGGTCTCTTCCGAAGGCATATGCAACGCGCCGGCTCTACCACTCTCCTTCCCGAGTTAGAGCATTTGTTCATACTGGACGAGATGAAGAGGCCCGAGGGTCGCGACACCTTCTATCACTCTGCCGGTTCCCCGACTGAAACAATCACGATATTTTGTAAAGCATCGAAGCTTCGAACAGTCAAAATCAAGGAACCACGGTATGACTATTCTGTGCTTCAGCATGTGCAGCTACCAGCTGCACAACTGACATCGTTGGACATTTCGGTTTTTCGTTGTGATGGAGGCGGAAGGTTCGATCCAAAAGTATACGCCGAGTTTCTCAATCAATGCAGCAATCTTGTCAATCTCCAATTTCATCCATCAATTCTTTTCGACCCGTCATTATCTCTACATTTTCCTGCACTTCGGAAGCTTGTCATCACCTGCGCTGGGTATCAAGAAAATGCTACCAAGGTTGACTTGCTTCACTGTCTTACAACACCCCTCTTACATGATTTGACCATTCAATGTGGTTGGCCAACCGTAACTCACATACGGATGATCATCGAAAATTTACTCAGGTTAAAGGCCCGCTCTGAAATTGTGCTGTCGTCTCTGACCCTGGTAAATTTTTGGGATGGTAGATGTCGAACTGCGCAGACAACAGCGATGATTGTGGATCTTTTGGCACACTTTCCTACGATCCAGTCATTTGTAATCCTTGACCTCAAAGCCGATGTCAGCGATCTCTTTCAAGCTATGACCTTCGGCGCCCAAGATCATTTGCAGCTTCTTCCTCATCTCACAGATCTCCAAGTCAAGTGGGACCACCAGGCTTATAGGCAGTACCCGGTCGCTCTGAACGTTATGATCAAATCACGGTGCTGGGCAGGAAGCGAACGAGACCTCACCGACGATCGACATGAATTCTGTCGATCCTCCGAGCAGTGGAGATTGAAAAGGGTCGTTATGCGAGGTTTTCCTGAATTCCAGAGGGAGATCCAGCCAATAAGAGATATCTCTGGCTTAGATTTGAACTACATGAATTGGTGGGAAGATTGAGTAGGTGGTTTCCTCCAACGCGATATACTCATTTTTTGGGAGGATAGGATAGGATAGGATATAAATTATACTGGCGAGGTCCGATTCCCGAACGGCCAGTTTAGGGAGTACACGCTATATTCTTGCGTTTATTACTGCTGGCGAATCTTTACCTCAAAAAATCGTTATGTGAACATACCTTAGATTATGGTTAACATTCAAGCTCTCGTTGTGTACGAGTATCTGATGATTTTATTGTACATTTTGTCGTCAATTAATCTATCTGTGCATTAGTCTCAGAATGTTGCAGCGCCGCTGATGTTCCTTGCCTCAATCTCCAACTTTTCAGTCAACCTCCAAAACTTTGTCTGGCGATAGGAATATCCCCAAGCTTGAAAGAAATAGTATACTGTTGGGTAGGTCATGAATGTAGAGCATGAATGAACACGGGCAGAGCCACGGAAGGAATCTGTAGTCCGAGGCGGGATCGAGGGTGAAGGATGGTGACCCTCCAAGCATGAGTGCCTGACAGTAGTAACGGATTGGAGAGACCTTAGGAAAGCTGGCCATCTGCAAAACCTGTATGTTTGCCAGAGCAAGGGTACTGGCTGGAGAGCGCTTGCAGATGAGATGTGATGAAATTACGAAAAACTGTGAATAATTCGCTACTGTCACTTATCATTACGCGGAACAGCCGGTCTTGAAAGTATAAGGACCACAAAGAGTCATATTCGGTGATCTACAAACATGTTTTTGATAGAGGCCTGCGGGGGCAACGTTGAACTCACCTACTTCCTGAGTGTGTAAAACATTGAGTTTATTATACATACCTATAGATACCTATACCAATACACTTTCATTGATCTTGGATACGTATATGCAAGCCCAAGTCAAAACTAGAACTCTTCCAGGAATTTGATGATACTTATACATCTGCAAAACCTGTATTTTTGGCTAAGAGCTCGAAAGCAGCTGACAGCACTGTCCAGCTGGGAAAGCGCTCCCAGCAGTACTGAAAAACTGCTGGGAGTGCTTTCAGTGCTGGACAGTGCTCTCCAGCTAGTACCCTTGCTCTCGCAAACATCCAGGTTTTGCAGATGTATTCATACCTTTGCTCTGGAATCCATCGAGACTCTGTCCGATCCCCATCCTATTGCTAACATACATACTTATCTAGAATAGTCCCTTTTCATTCTTCAACATATGAATTATACCCTCGTGCTACATTACAAACATGGAACTTCTTCACGGAAGTAGTTGTTTTGTTTGTCAATTTTCACTATTGATTACTACCATTCTTTTTTGGGAGATCTGCCGGTTCGAGTAACAGTTCTTTTCTAGTTGCATCACCAATCTCAACACCTTGCCACCTCTTCCCATTTTCCCACCTCCAGCGTATTTGGAATGTATCTGACACATTCTCCAGCATATAGACTGTGCCCTCCTTGTACTGGATGTCGCATTGCATCTTCGGAAATGTTTCATGAAAGTAGTCCGCAACTCGATCTTCAACCCGCTGCGGCACAGGGGGATGATGTGGCGGAGCGAACCCTTGGGCATTGTTCCCCGAATTTTGAATAAAAGCAACTATTATTTTGCCATTGGGCTGAACTCTGGATACCCGAGATAGAGGGGTAGAGGGCTAGTTACAGGAGATTCACTGATAGTATGCAGGTATCAATATAAGGGACTTACACCAAACGGTTGGGTTCTTGTTAAGATCATGTACACCGTGTAACCGTACCAAAGCTACAAGGTGTCTAAGTGCAGAAGACGAGTGGGACAGTAGTGAAGTTATTAACAACACCGCCGTTACGCCGTTAGTCCCCGGAGATCGAGAGTATAGAGAGAGGAGCTGAGTAGCAGCCAAGTCGGAGCGGCGGTAACACCGGTGACGAGGAGCGAACCAGAGAACATTAAGTCCTAAGGTTATAGTAGAGAGTACTTCAAGGCGATGAGCCTGAAGACTTAGAGGAGCACAGAGTTAAGGAGGGAATCTAAGTCGATCTAAGTTGATAATTAAACTGAGGAACTACGGTAGCATACAAGCAGTATTTATATCTACGGAGCGGCGCATCGGTGCGGAGCGCCAGACTAACTACTAGGAGTTATACGTGTAGTCCTGCAGGGTAAAGTAGAAGACAATAAGGAGAGACTAGAATGAAAGGGTATGTGTAGCGAGAAAGAACAATAAGGAGAGATTACAATAAAAGTAGATCTTCGGAGTACCGAGCGGCGAGGTGGAGGCCCGAGGCATGGGCTTGACAGTTCTTGACGACAAATGGGATCCAATGTCCTTATTTTGAGTGACCTACATTGTGTGTCAGACGACCTGAACTAGGATATGAGATACAAAGTATGTTCTCACATCAAGGGGCACTGCGTGCACAACAGCGAGAGGTCCCAGTACAAGGAAGATGAAATTGAAATGCATTGCTTGTGTGAGGAGGGAATAAGTGCGATATGGACTGAGGAGGCAGGAGACGTGAACTTGAAAAGGTTAATGAGTTTTGGTAAAGCAAAAAGGACGTGAGGGAAACTGGACAGCAGGTTCTGGGGATAACTCGGTCGGTGATCTTCATTTTATGTATGCATCAGCCTGAGATTGAGAGGGGTTTTAGCGATATTATTGTCAAGCAGAAAAAGGCTACACACGGTCGCGTGCCAGCATTTCATCAAACAGTGCCTGCATCCTCTAGAGGCCATCTTGAAAATGTAGGATATCAGGGTCAACTGAGAAGCATGATGGAGGAAAGGAAAAGAAAGTAGGGCAGCAAGTTCCCATTGAGGAACAACCTGGAGAGAAACCGGAAGAGTCCTACTTACTACCAGAAAGTTTTGAGCCTCGATAGCTGCTCCGAGAATTGAAATCGACAGGATCACTTCTTAGACCCCAATCCCATGACCGTCAACAAAGGGATACATCTGCAAAACATGTATACTTGCCAGAGCAAGGATACTAGCTGGAGAGCACTCTCCAGCAACAAAAGCACCCAAAGCAAAAATCAAAGCCTGCTCTGGGTGCTTTTGCTGCTGGGAAGTGCTCCCAAGTGCTCTGAGCTGCTTTCGGCTATTTAGCCGAACATACAGGTTTTGCAGATGTATTATGAGGATCTGTGGAGGGTAGCATCTGGTAAAAAACCCTACCAAGATGATAGAATCTGGTGTTCATTGCATTGGCGGCAAATGATGAGAGGCTTGTATATATATTTCAGCTATCCTACAATATCAGGAAACACTGAAATGCTCCATAGAGCTTACCCACATGTTTATAGCATGACATATATTCCAAATTATCTGTGCGCTTAGCTGTAATGTCCGTACAGGCGCGTATACTACAGTATAGCTACAAGTATCTTGCATTGAGCATACAGCGAATACATAGTGCTTGTATACTATAGCTGTCTAGTCCATATAGTGAGTATATATCAGGCAATCACTCTGTATACAACATAGCATGCTTATCTATATTTGAGGGGTTATATGAGAAGTCATAGACAAAATTCAGGACTAGACCAATTATTGATACTAGGTTCAATTCAGTCATTATCTTTGGGTCGTAACAGTACAAAGTCTATAGGCCTAAGATATGGATTGAGGTAGAAATGTTGGCACTGATCTAGCACCTTTTCACTTGACCAACTGGGATCTGCATGTTTACTGTAAAAAGGTACAAGATGACAGCTGCGGGCGATATAGGTAATAGGAATGATTGACGAGTTACGAATTTTACCCCGCATCGAGCGCTCAACTCGATACATTTGTGTAACTTTATCGAGCTTGCGGAGAGGAGTGAACCACTCCACATATGCGAGGGGATGTGGGAAGGAACCAAGCTGACTGGGAAGGTCGAAAATTGCACGTACTTGCGCCACGTGAAGCCCTGAAATAGCCTTAGCAGAATGTGAAATCAGAAGAGTTGGAAACGCACCATCTTTGGCCAGTACATCCAAATCTTCCCGGCTGTCTGGGAGTGACTTCCTCGCAAGAACCGTTTCAAACTGGGCAGGTGTATATTTACATTTCCCGCAACCCGAGAGAACAGCAGGCTGAGCGGCAGTTGCATGCATGACATCAACAATGGAAGAATTCGAGAATTCAAGTGTAGGGAGTACGATAACCCAAAATTGTTTGTACAGGCTATATTTTGCCGGCTGTGCATCCCAGTAGTCTGATCGGAGCAGATTTTGTTCACGTAGAAACCGTTCCATAGCATAAACAAATGTCGAGCAACCAAAGTCAGAATCCAGGCTTTCGATAGTGATGTTAGTGACAGGCGTTTGTTTCGCAACCATGCACGTGGTTTTGCGGTACTGCAGATTGGTCCGGATCCCTTCTACCTGAAGAGCTTCTCCAAACTCAGGTATTGTTACAGCCTCCTCGGTTTCCTCTTCATCGACCTCTCTTGTAGCCAGCCAGTCAATATGATCTTTTTCCAGTGCCCAGTCCAAGAAATGTGTGAACCACAAAACTTTCTCTCTTCGATCCAACCAACGTGTCATCTGTTTAATGTAATCTCTCCTGTTTGATGCTCGGTATGCCAGCTTTGCAAAGTCGATATGAAGTTGCTCAGACTACTACGTGTTGTAACCAGGAGCAGCTCCAATTGAGAGGATCATCGGAGTGTAATGGTTCATGGAGTGCACTTCTGGAATGTTGAAAGCTTGTCGAATGCCCGTGTCCACAAATGCAGCATCCTTATGGGAATGAAAGGTGCGTAAAGCTTCATCCATTCTCTCCAGAGACTCATCCGTGTGCAAACTGAACTGGGAATACTCGATAAAATCAAGTATGGCCTGCACACAAAGAACGATTTCTTCTGATTCGGTGGCACCAGAAATAACACCTAAGAAGATCTTCTCCATATTCTTATACTCATGCCCGGTCCACTGCGTGATCAATGAAATTCCTTGCTTGAAATGGCGCAAGGTCGGATGATGTGGCATCGATTGGAACCGAATATCAATCTCTCTTTCTCGCTCCTTTTTACTCTTCCCAGTAACTGCGCGTGTTGACCACTTCACAATATGATCCTTGAACACTCCCTTGTGTAGCTGATGAAGAATGTCGGGTGTGATACAGTGGAAGATATTGCATAGTGGTAAGCTAGCCCAAAATGGAGTAACGAGGCGTAAGCCTAGTGTGACTGCAGAGGTGTTGTCTCCATTTGCTGCCTTTTGCAATGATTGAATCGTCCTGTCAGGGTCTCGAAGAATGGAGTGCAACGGATCTCCGAGCTCTTTCTTCTGAGCAGTGCATTTCAGGCACCAATTTTCTTGGCAACACACAATGAGACACTGTTCCGGGAAATCAGCTACATATGCAGCAAGTAGCAGGAATACAAATCAGATTTTGCCATCAGAGCACAGCATCTTCACCCCTCCTTTACGCGGATCTCCTGCAACAATCAACTCCTCGAGGAGCATGCCCATACAGTCATGGAACAGCCGATAGCCCTCAACAGATCATGCATCCTTCGAGAAACATTCCAGCTTTGAGACCGGTATATATCCTATCAGAATTGAGGCTTGCTTTGATGGTTTTTGCCTCACAGATGATTCGATATTCCCGAGCATAAGATATACAGGCCAAGCAGACTTGTCTCCACTCAATGTAGAGAGTTGAGTCTTGTCGGATGCCAGGATTATTGGTGCGATTGTTGACCCTTCAGGTAACAGTTTCTATATCCGATTTCACTGTTAGCTGACCTATCAGTATACCTAGATTGTTGCACACCTGCATCGCCCACCACCAATCACCTGTCCACATTTCATCAATTGCTCGCATATGCATGGTCTCATTAGTGAACATCCTCTCTGGTGCGTATCACATATGCTCCTCAAACTGGGGGTCCTCCATAAGCTCCTTGATGCATTCAATGGGTTCCCGTCTCCAGAGCTCTACTCCTTCAGTCATTGGGACTTCTGTGCCATCAGTGGCCTTCTTCATGATGTTGCCAACAATTTCGAGCTCTTTGCAAATCCATCCCCCACGCACAGTAGGCAAGGCATCAATTTTCTTCAAGAAGGTACATTTGTCCTTAAATGATGAATGTAGCTTGTCCTGAATCGGTAAATTTTCGGTTGAATAATGGAAGAATCATCTCTAGATATAACTTACAATGGACAACTTAGCAAAAGAATCAGTATCGCCATGACTGACCCCAGACAGCATTAACCAGCGCGCAAGTTGCCACTCTTTATGACTTTTAAATGGTGACCACATCTCCTCGGACTTCTCCTGTTTGGTGTCTTTGAATTGCTGGAAGCCGTTTTTCCATGTTTCTCCTCCTAGTTCTGCCCCTGCTCCACTGAAATCTACTGATACAAACTGATTCCTTGACATTCCAGGACTAGAGTCACCATTGTCAGTGATTTCCTCAACAGTCATTTGTGGTTTTTTTGGAGGTGGAGGAGATTCAGGACTGTCATGCTTCGTGAATGTGGAGGTGGAGGCCTTAAAGTCAGGGAAATTATTCGATGAAATAGAAAGGCTCAGTGAAGGCTCGCGATGAATCTCTTTATGAATAGTTTGCTGATGTTTTTGATTCGTGGCATGTCGCAGTTTTAGTGCATTACCGCAGCCAGTATGTGCTAGGTGACTTCGTAGGTGAGCGGCTTTTTCACCTCTGTAATTGTGACAGACAGCACACTCATGGGGCTTCTTTGTAGGCAAGTTTCTTTTTGACATGAAGATGAGTTTGGATTTTCCGGGGTGCCCGTAATGTGGAATATTTAGTTATTGAGGCATCGCTGCCATTGTTTGCACGTGCAACATTGCTGCACAGCCTTTATATTCAATTATTTCTTCAATAATTTTCATGGCTTCTCACCGTCAAACAAATTCTCAAACAAATTCAAAGAGACCATCTGATAGCGACAATGGTCAGGCATCAAAATGACACAAACCTCGAGACAACCTGAGTGAAAATTTTCTTACTGAAATGCGGACTAGAACTCGTCGTATTCCGACATTAAAACAAGCGGAAAATGGTCTTGCATTTCATCTTCTTTTACCTGTGCACTCATTATTGCTTGAATGCAGATGACCGTAGTCAGAGAAAGGAGCTTGAGAAATTACAGAGGGAATTGAAGGAAAACCAGACGTACAAACAAAACCTCAATGAGGCCCACGGTAAGCTTAACATTATAGTTTTTTTTTTCTTTGAAAGGCAAATGGGTTGTTCTAGAATGGGAAAATGCTCTTGAACACCGCTGGAGCAACTATGAGGATGATTACTATGAACAACATGGCCGCTCAGCACCCAAAAGTGAAGACAAAGATGACCTTGGAACTGGTAATGAGCTAGACTTCAGATACACTGGAGCTGGTTCCGGTCTCGGCTCTCCAAAGACCTTATTTCCGAGTTCGGTATGTTCCTATTCATTGAAAGCTATCATTACTCACTAGTTCTCCTGGGTTGCAGGTCCGTACGGTCAATGTTGTTCTCCAATCACCTCTGGCTATCCCCCGCAAGTCTGTCCTCAAGGCCCCAGTCTCTATTCATCCTGATCAACCTTCATGGCCACCCCTTACACCTCCTAACACTCAACAAGAGCCTTCGGTAGTACACACTCCTTCCACTATAGGCTGTATACAACCTCCAATGCTTATGCCAAAGCCACTTTCCACATGTCATGCTCAGCCACCGGTTGATCCTATCGAACCACCGCGGCTTGAGGGAGAGAGTGACATTGAGCTTCGCAAACTTGCTTGATTTGCTAATACATCTGGAAAACTATTGCGTCATTACAAGGGGCTCTCAAAAAAACTGGTCAGACAGTGTCTTCAAAGCTACGAGTTGACCATTATTGTTTTACATATGTATCTGACAAGTGATTTGCAGATGAATTGGACAGAGAATATATGGAAGTACTTCATGTCGAAGCTGCTCCATGAAGATGAAACACCGTTTGTGCTTTCAGAAGAAGTAAAGACGCTAGTGAATGCATTTCAGGTCAATGTCGTGTTATCATGTGTACTAAATAGTTTGTAGATGATGCAAAGGGAAACTCATATACGGAAAGCTTCATGGGACTGTGTTGCAATGCTCTTTGAAACGACGTTCAAGTTCAAGAAAGGGACAGGCAGTAAGGTTCGCAAGCACAACAAGATACTGTATCTTGCACTTATGACCGATTTTGGTTTTTACTACTTGGTACATTGTATAATGCTTTTAGGGATCTTGCTAATCATGTGTTAGGATCCAACTATGCGTACAGGCCTCATGCAAGCTCCGTTCATTGTTGATGGAATCTGCCAAATTCTATTCTATAATAAAAAAGTGCACAGAGTTGACCATGAGTTTCTGTTCAATCCTATCCCGCCTGCTACGGTGGCTTTTCTGTTCACACTGGCAAGTAATATATATTTTCTTGGCCTCAATGTCTTGTGTAACCTCCTTTCCTAGACGGAACATTTTCTAAGCCAGTGGTCAACAGGTATCCGCATCCCGCGCACCCTTGACGAGGATGTTATGAATTTGAGTTTTCAGAAACATGTCACGCGGGTTGATGAATGGATTGCCCTTGACGAGAAGAAAACCATGACGATCATGAAACAATGGTATTACCTGGGACAGTATGTGTGTGTTTTTACTATATGATCAATATTTCATTGCTGTTTCTAGGAAGTATGCCGGTGTTGGAGGTGTTACTGGTCCAGAGGATGTCAAAATGTCCCAAAAGGATAGAAAGAACGCAGTTGCAGAGCTTCACGCTATGAAGGTTCCTGACATGAGCGAAGATGACGAAGGTGATGAAGATGATGAGGGAAATGATGGTGAAGATGATGAGGGTAGTGACGATGAATACAGGGACAAAAACAACGGCAAAGGTGACTACGGCAACAACAGTGAAAATGACAACGGCAGCAACAGTGGAGGTGAGAACAGCAAAGATGATGATAACAATGGTGGCAGCGAGAATAAATATGAGGATGAGATCAATAATGGTATGGAGGGAGATGACGGTGGTCTAATTGCGGAAGGTGGTAGCGGTAGAGCTAATGGCTTCAACGTGGTGAATCTTACTAAAGGTGAGTCTGATACTCTCTAACATTCATTTCTAACTGCATTTTTGATAGCGCTGTCGGTGATCTCACACCCTAGTCCAGAGGAAGAGTATCCTGAAAGTCACCATCGGACTCCTGCAGTGCCGTTGAAACTCATTAATTTGGACAAACGTAAGTTCTAATCTTCTCTATTACTACAATTCATTTACTTCTATAGCCGTCATGATATCAAACGAGCTGACTAATATGGAAATAGAGGATGGGATGCAAGGGACAGAGCCCGTCGATGAGATACCAGACAACAAAAGTCTACGAAAGACAAAGAAGAGACCAAAAGCAGTTATTTCAGCAGTACCTCCTAGACCAAAGCGTATTGCTAGAAAGTAGTGTAGTGTCTAAATGGCATATAATTCTTGATTCTGAATCATTGGTACTAGTCCAGCTTGCTATCAGCGAAGCGACAAAAAGAAAATGTTGTAGCCTGTAGTAGCACTACAATAGTGTCGTTCAAAGTTGAAAAGCGCCCGCTGCCAATGGCACCCGTTTGCTTACGAATGTCACCTGCTCTTAAAATAGAAGTCACTTTGATGTAACACTGCATGCGACGGCCTGCAACGGCAATCCTTTAATCACAAGGAGTGCCGGTGAGGCTTGAGACCGGCTACTTATTATATCCGACCAGTCATATAGCTTTAGCATAGATGCCATTCTGCCGAGGAGACTTCGGTGAAGATAACCACTTGAACACCAGTCATGATCAAAGCAAAAAGATTTCGGCTGTCAACCCTCCCGCGGCATCCAGCCCCAACACATGATTAGCTGATTGTCCCTCCAGGCCAAAGAGTAGCAATAGATGGACAATTTACATGAGTGTATACAGTATTATACCATTTCTGGAGATAGGATAGGTACATTAGTAGAAATTCTAGCCGTTGAACAAATAAAGACAAGAAAAAGTGAGTAGGTCACGATGTGACCATATGTGATGCGCTTCGTGACGGTTACCAACGGAGGTCGCTGGCAGCGGGCGCTTTTCAACTTTGAACAACCCTAATATAGGACTGTACTTCTATCGTAGTGCTATGTAGTTGTATATAACGCCGTGTACAAGTAGGGGGCCTAATTTGTAATTGTACATACAAATATATTGCTTATACGCAATGATACGGACTGCTACATAGACAGTTGGTCTGGTGTCCTTGTTATACATACTAATACTGTACTGTTCATATAGGGGGGGATGTCTACTGGAGTACTCTAGCTACATAGACTCCTTACTCATACACATAGATTTCATTTTTCCCTGATGAAGCAGAGAAAACTGAGAAAGAAACAGAGATTGAATTTATAAGCTTGCAAAAAGTAAGGATACCAAATTACTGGTATCAATGATCCTGATCGCCTTCGAAGGATCCAAAGTGAGGTATGCGCTGGTATGCAATGGCAGGACAAAGGTCAAGAAAATTTCCATTTGAAGGATGGTGAGATACCAAAGTTGAGAGTGCCTACTGGAAATGTGGGGACATACTCAAACTTACACACAATCAAGGTCAGGGGATATCTCCCATTAAGACCTGACTATTGGCTTCAACAGCCCATCGACAACCAATGTCAGTGCAAGAATGATAACATCCCAGTGTCATTCATGCAAGAGAGCAGTTTGAGAGCCCCAAAATGTGATCAATTTTTAGAGCTCCGAGATGGACAACATATGATTTGGTGGTTGGTGCGATGAAGAGTTAGCCACCGTGTACTAAGGATATGGTAAAAGAAAAAATAAGTGGCATGAAATGGTCTGAGTATTGCACCCCGGTGACCTGAAGAAGGACCCTCATCAATGAGAGAGCCTTTTACTAACCAGAAGACTCGACGAAGAGTGGAATAATCTATTGGTCTGCTTTTTGAGTTATGAAGCCTTAGTATCGCCTAGTATCACCCGCCACAAGGATTTCGCCGTATTTAACCTTACCTCTGCAATTGACAAAGACCCTGATGGTAATGTGCAAAGATGCAGATGTAATTCCCATGTTGTTCCTCTATCTCTCTATTTTTGTTTTTCCCGACCTTTCCAATTGGTTCAAGAGAGTCCGTTGAATAGGTTGTATCGGAGTGGATGTGTAATGTATAGCTACTAATGTCCTTTTCAACTAGGAGGAACCAGGGTGTTGCAAGAAGGCGTCCACAATGAAATAAACTGAAATCCCAAATAAATGTCAGAATGTTGTGCTGCCTCTCACTGCGCCAGGGGCTTCGAATCCCGGCGGGGAAATTGTCTGAGAAACTCTATGGGAATTATTGCCTTTCTTGGTATAAATCCTGCCCGTGAAAGGTTTTGAATCTCAAACCAGACATATAAAGGAAAACATTTCCTTTCTCAGTCATTTTCTTAGCCAAGATATATAGTGAAATTAAATCCCTTTTATGGCTTTGAAAAGGAATATTTCCCATGTATAATTCTAGGGAATAAAAGAGATGGGATTGTTTTTCTTTGTCAGACCTTTTTCCTTTGGATAAATAATTCCTTTCTGGTCTGGGAAAGATATTGAAGTTTATAAAAATTTCCTTTTGGGATTTAATCAATTTCCCAGGAAGGAAACAAATTGGGAGAAGGGCAGGAGAAGTCTACCTGATGCATACCTGGTGAGCATCCACTGAGGGCAAGCTCAGAGGGCAATGCCAATCATCAGTTCATCGTAGGGTAATTCTCAGGTCATCATCCCAATGACATTGAGATACATAGACGGTCGGTCTCAAGAGGTTTTGGAATGTCCGGCATACACCATGCTGGCAACAGAAGCACCAGTGAGAACCCGACCTTTTCAGATTGCTTACCTTTCTTTGATATGCTCTCTAAAGCTACGCCCAACGAACCTATAAAACGGGCCTCGTTCAACGGGTTCAGAAAACCTAGGGACTAACTTGAACAATAACGATGCCTTCTTACTCTTCAGTTGCTAGTTGACAAAATATGCTTTTCCTCGTACTTGCGACATGCCCAGATGGCATAAAATTTGTACTTTTGTCAAATAACAGGTAAGAGATATCGATTTCTTTGTGATGAATGAATGAAACCAAAGATCCTTTGTTATTAGCCCTATAAAGGTGTTGCATTCATGTCAGATTTTGCATTTTCAATCCCTCCTGCATCGGTAACGAGCTTGCCTTGTTTTTGTGTGAAAGAGAAGAGAAGGAATCAAATGGGCACTCCAATCAACCAATCTAATACACAATATGCGAGTTCACTGCTATCAAATTTATTTAATAGCAAGGGGTAGCGTTGGCAAAGGTTCCGCAAAGCTTTGAGAGCTAAGTAAGATGCTTCAATCAATCAATTTGAATCGTTCTAAGGATTCGATATATTCCTTTGATTAAGGTAGATTCAGCACAGTTTGTGCTTTGATTGTATTGATATGGGTATATCAAGAATTGGGGGTTTGAATCAAAGTAAATTAAAACCGAAACACACAGACCCCTACGGAGGGCTAGATGTTGCAACGAGGCAGGAAGCGGGAGGCGGGAGGTCTGGATATGCCTAGGAGCGACCGTAGCAGAGCGAAGAAGTACAGAAACAAGCACAAAGCACAGATGGGAGAAATAATGATCTCGAACAATCAGTGGGATAGCATCAGAGGCCAATCACACCAGTAATCAAAAGGGAATCTAGTTGCCCAATGACCAAGTTAGATAGGTAGTATCTAAAAGGATGCCTAGTTGCCCAATGACCAAGAGGTCGAGATGGGGAACTAGGGCCTGTCTACTGTCCTTTATATACTACTCTTGTCTAATGAGTAAGTGATTGTAAATAACGATGCAATATAGAACAAGAGTGAGGAATCAATATATACGAGTAATAATGAGTCGATAATGAACCATAATGAACTAATCGATGAATAAGGATGAGTTGTATGGAAGCGTACGGAAACAAATGGAACTAATGGGATGATCATGTGATGAAGTACAATAAACATGTGAAAACAGATTGATGGGAACACACCGCGCTGATGGCGCATCAAAGGGCGCATCATGAGACTTCATGACATTACCCCCTTTCTTAGAGTCAATGTCCCAGCGACTAGTTGTTTACCTCGGTGAAGTTGACCATTGGCTGCCATGGTAGTGAGTGAAAGATCGTTGCCGAAATCTTCCTTGGTGCGTTTGGATGTGCTGCATAAAATTCGTTAATGGCTTCGTCACTGGATCCTACCACATTTTCCTCATTTTCCCAGGTGTCATGGCCCTCATCGTAGCCTTTCCACCGGACTAAGTACTGCAGCTTTTTCCACCGTCCATGTATTCTGCTGTCTAGGATCCTGTCCACATCGTAAAATTCTTCACCATCAATGACCTCCGGCTCCGGCGGAGCTGGCAGTATTCCGTTGACTTTGTTTCCTTTCCATGGTGCCAAACGCTTGACATTAATGTTGTCATGGATCTTCATCCATGTAGGAAGTGCAAGCCGGTAAGTGTGTGCCCCTGTCTTCTCAATAACTTCGAAAGGTCCTAGTCGGCAGCTTCCCAGCTTCTCACTTTTGCGTCGAATTTTTAGGTTATTGACTGAGAGCCATACAGGCTGTCCAGCTTCAAAGCTAGGTTGGTCAGGGTGTTCCGCAATTGTATCTGTGATTCGTTGTTTGCTCATACGTAGTGCGGCTTCTGCATCTTGCCGAGCATGGCGGAGTGCATCTAGCCGATCTGTGATTGAAGGGTATTCCTTCCAGGATCCTATGGGGATGGAGAATTCTGGGGTTTATCCGTAGAGCACTTCAAATGGTGCTTTGTCATGGGCAAAATGTATTCGAGAGTTAATAACGAATTCGGCAGTAGGAAGAAGACGGTCCCAGTCATCCTGACGTTGGCTAACATACATCCGGATATATCTTTCGATTTCTTGGTTAGCTCGTTCAGTCTGGCCATTTGTTTCAGGGTGGTACGACATTGTCAGGGCAGATTCAATACCCAACCGTTTTAGCAAGGCCTTCATGATGTCGGCAGCAAATTGTGGTCCTCGATCAGAGATAAATCGTCTGGGCAGTCCATGAAGTCGGAAGATTTCTTTATAATAGAAGTCGGCAACTCCTTCGGCAGTAAGTTCGGTTGTAGTGGGGAAGCAGTGAATCATTTTGGAGTAATGGTCTGTGAAGGTGATTGCTGCATTGTGTCCATCTTGTGTCATCGGTAGTTCTCCAATGAGGTCCATGCCGATGTCCTGCCATGGTCCTCCTGGTACAGGCAGAGGCTCTAGAGATGATTGTGGCTGCGGCCTTACACGTCTTCGTTGACAGTTGTCACATCCTTCCACATACTTATCAACAAATGATCGAACCGTAGGCCACCAAAACTGTCGGCTGACTAACTCTAGGGTGCGGTGCTTTCCTGGGTGACCAGCT